ATATCTGGTCTAATTTTGAATGTAATTTAAAAGAAAACAAAACAAAACCCAAAAAGCCACACCAAACAAAACCAAAACCCCAAAACAGTGGGAAAAAAAGCCTTTATAACTGTGGTGTTATCTAAATTATTGGTTGTTTTAAACTTTGTTGAGGATTTAATGTAGATTGGACAAATTATATTTGTGTATGTGCATCCATTTTGATTGTTTTTGTCAGAGTAAAGGCTTGTATGATCTAGTTCAGACTGTATATTAAAGAGAGATGAGCTCACTTGTCCTGTTCAGAACATGGCTGAAAGCTCTGCCTAAAAAAAACTATGTAGGAAATTAAAAAAAATAATCTACTTGTCTTCAAAACAGTGAAGTTGGTCTGAGAGCTGAGCCGATACCAGTAGGAAACAGATTTAGCCAAGTTTGAACAGTTCTGTTATCCAACTTTCCTATTGCACTAAAATTTAATTTGAAATAAAGGGAAAGTTTGCTTAATTTCAGAACCTCCAGGGTAGCTGATAACTTAAATAGACAAGACTCCATGTTTCTGTGAGAAAGTATGGAGTATTTACAAATTTGTGTTACAACAGGAGAGATACTAGAAAAACAGGGGTGAAGCTAACCTAAAAATAATAGTAATAATAATAGTAGTAGTAGTATTAAAAACAATAATATACATTTTTGCCTCTGTGAAGTTTCATGAGATTCTCCTAAAGAGATGTATGTGGTGTAGCAAAGAATTTTAAATATTTAAAATATTTTTGCTATGATTATTTACAAACTAAATTAAATTATTCAATTTTAAATAGCCTCCATCTAGTCCTTCTTTCAGTTCTCAGCTAATTTGGATTTGCTTCAAATTCTGCACAAAGGAAATGGTATTTGTAAAATGTTCTGGTTAGGCTGGGATTTGAAGTACTTTGCTTTCATGTTAGAATATTTATTCTTTTATAAATCTTTGATAAATTATTTCATACTTTTGATCTTGTTGGTAAAAAAGTTTGAACTCGATTATGAAGTGAAAATTTACATTTTAAAACATCACCTCTTTCAAGAAAATTATATAAATATGTTCTACTTGTAGGATTAAAAAATAATTAATGGAGTTACAAGCTGTGGAGGGAACCAGCTCTAAGTCCACCTTAATAATAGTTAAACTGGAAATGCAGATGAATAACACAGTAATAGCAACCCAGATTTTCTGGAAATAAATTTTATGTCTGCAGTGCACAAATGAATATGTGATTGTAATGAAGGGAGGGAAAAAAGAGGAATTTTTAAAACAACTATAGAAGCAAGGCTTGGGCTTTTTGCCTTTAAAACAACACAAGTGAAAGCTGCACAGAAATAGAGAGATGCAGTTGTCACATGGCCCAGTGATGATTAGTCCTGCTTACACCTTCTGGGCAAGGTTGGGTGGTCTGGGGTGGGCACAAGTTCTGTTCATCCACACTTGTAAAAATGGGACAGAAGAGGGTGGAATTTGTCTCTTTGGATGCTGTTCCTTAATCCACTTCTGAGCATAGGCTTGAAACCCTTGAAAAGATGTAACCTCAAGCTGGGGAACAAAATATGCTCTGACGGGGAAGGCTCAGAATCCCCACACAGATTCTTAAACCTTCTTCAGTTGGGTAGGATTGTCTACAGATTGGAGTTACAGCCCACTGAGATCTGGGAGACTGTTCTGTGAAATGGGATGTTTTAGAGACTTTTCCAGTAAGCCTCTGAAATGATCCACTAAGCATGTGCAAATACCAACTTTCAAAGGCTTTAAGCACAGCCAAAGAAGAATAAAAGACAAATCTGTCTTGCCAGGTTTCAGGTTTTTGCTCAGAAGCTGGGAATAATGCAAATCTTCTTCAAACAGTCAAGAGATAATTAAAACTTATTCTTATCCAATCCATTTCCTGAAAAAATGCATCTTTTTATAAAATGTATAATTTTACTTAATTATTCTAAAAATAGCAGTTTGAGATATTGCAGTAGGGATAAAATAAAGCTCAGTTATGTGCGTGGCAGAGAAACAAAATATGTAAAATAAAATTGTAAAGTGTAATTTTTTAAGCACCTTTAACAATAAACTTTATTCCATCTAAACTGGAACACACTGCATTTACTAGAAAGCAGTCTTTAATAAATAGCTGCATAAACTCAGAAGTATTAATTACTCCTTCAGAGATTTCTTTTAAACTTTTTTTTAGTGCAGCAAAGCACATACTGAACCTGAACCTGCTTCTGATTAAGTCAGTGAAAGCAGGACTCTGATAAACATTTAGTTTGACAAAATGAATTCAAGATGTTGGAATTATTTTGTCCATTTTACTAAGCATTTTTCCTGAATCCTCCATTCACTGGAAGATAAGATTTTACTAAGTCTGTTACATCTTCCTGAGAAGTCTTTAGGCTAAAGGTAAACTAAATATATCCAGAAAAGTGAATTGAATTATATATGTTACACAGAAGGCAACATGTGCACTTCTGTAAATAAATCACATAGGGATATATTAAAGTAATCCCTGTACTTGTTCACACAGGATGGAGCACCCAGGATAATACAATGTATACACATGGTTTTGTGAAAATTTTATTGGTTTGGATATCCTTTTTATTCTGAATAGACTACCAATAAGTACAAGATGTCTTTTACTCCAGCAGAAAAAATGTCTATTTGTGAAGGCACTATTTAAAAATGCTTTTAGTTAATTAACTTGCCATGTCTGTGGATGGGATGTCATTTTTGTTACAGAAAATAAATTAGGGTGATAAAAATACTTCTCTGCACAGAAGCTTTCGTGCTTGTTTGGAACAAAAAGTATTCGTTTTACAAAATTTGATTCTTTATATTCTTTGCCAAGAAAATGAGAGTTAGTGGACCTAGTTTTCTGATGAAAAAAAGATCTGATTTGATTAAGAAAAGCTGATTCATTTGACTGTGAAAAGTGCTTAAAATGGATACTTAAAAACACTAGGTAGGTGAACCAGTGATTTTGCTTCTAAAATGCTGCTGAAGTGTTTGCATCTTTGGCAATGATGTGTGCCCATCTGAAAAGAAATTGGAAATTGTGGCAACTTACATGCAAAACAAGGGGAAAAAAACACGTGTGAACTTTCTAAGCTGGAACTGCCCATTAGGTATCTGTGTGCTGATCATACTTCAACAGGAAATGATGATATTTAAAACTGCCAAGTGAACACGTGTGGAGCATTACGCTGTGTATGCGGTGAAACACGCATTGTTTATTTTGTGTAGCATTCTTCTGCTCCCTTAAATACATACAAGATGGAAACTCATAGACTTTTTTTAACCTTTAGCTGCTTTACTTGTACAGAAACTGCCAAACAAAATCTGGCAGACTTGTAAACAACCTGAGTTCATTTTATTTCATCTAACTGATCACATTTCCAGTAGACAACAAATAAAATGCATTGCTGACAGAGATGTAGAAATGTATATACAATTAGATGAAGAAATTGTGTTCAATGCAGTTCAAATCTCAGCTTTTGCCTTTTCATTTCCTTGAATATGGCTGTAAAATCCTTACCTGCTGATGCATGGCCAGCAGCAAAACCAGTTTTTTCCTGTTTATCCAGAGTGCTGCTGGGCAGGCTATCCTACCAATGGCTTAGCCAGAGCATCTCATTGTTGACTTTTAGTCCTTTACTTGAGTAAATGGGATTCTTCATTTACTTGAGTAAATGGGTTTCTTTGCTTCATGTGGCTATGGATAAAGCTTCCTTTTATTTTCCCAGTTGAGATATAGTATTTCCTAAATTTTCTCAAATATATTCAAGACATGAAAGCTCTGTCTTGGGTTAAATTAATGTAATGTGAGGGATTAAATCATCCAGGAGATCAGCAGAATTTGGAGTATAAAAGCCAGATAATTTCATTTTCTGGAGGGGAAAAAATCCAGTTTCAGCCAGCAGACCCATATTTGATGGAAAGGTGGTGGGGTTTTGTTTGTTTTTCCACAGAGCAGGATCTGTGGAGCACAGAAGATAGGCAGTTTCAAAGTGAAACTTGAAATAAATTCTTAAGATGTTGGGTATTGCCCTTAATGATTTGCCATTGATTGCCCTGGTCAGAATATGAATACCTGGGAGCTGTGGTTACTGAACCATTCCAACTGTTCATCTCTTTCCTCTCCATCTCAGCCTTCTACCATGTAATAGGGCTTTCACATCCTCTGTAAGTCAATCTTTCTGTTGGCCTTTGGAGTACACATATGGTAGATCATTCTCTTGTTACACATGGGCTGGCAACTTTGCACATATATAGGAAAACTGTTTCTCTGGGGGAAAAAAATCTGTGTAATTAATATATAAATGAAGAAGGAGTGGGCGAGCACAGACTGCAAATTGGATTGCAATTACCGGTCTAACAAGAAATGTTCCTTGTCTGCTCTGTCTTTGTCTGAGAAAGGCCAATCTGTTGTCACTGCATGAAAGCCATCTACAGGCCCCCAGTGTAACTGTGAGGCTGCAATTCATGGCAGCCTAAATCCACCTGAAATTTTGCAAGCTTCCCAGAAATTACGCACAAGAAAACAAGTATCAAGAGATCCAAGACGAATATGTATATTTGTAGGAGTGAAGAATTTTCCAGATGTGCACAAAAGTTCTGTTCATTCACTTATATGGGCTGTTCCTGTAATTCAGTGTGGATGCGGCAACTGCAGGTGGTTGGAATACAGATAATGAGAGGCAGAAGTTCCCGTTTTGGCTTTCTTATGCACAAATTCTGTGGTGTGTTTCAGGGGAAGTTTCATAAGCCCATGTCACTTCATAATATCTAAAGGAAAAATGGAAAATAGTGACAATGTTGCTGTTAACTACTTTCCTAGGTTTGGTAAAAAGCAAAGGTATCAAAGGAACCTGCACTGATTTGTTAGCCTGGATGCTTTTCAAACCCTCCATATTAAAAAAAAAAAAAAAAGTTATTATAGAAAAAGCAGAATATTTTAGATAGTATCACAATGTATTAATATTGTCACCTTGTTTTTTAACAGGTCTATGGAAATGCAGGATCTAGCCAGTCCTCATAATCTTGTTGGAAGTAGTGATGCACCAGGTAGTTCCAAATTGGATAAATCTAATCTCAGTAGCACATCAGTCACAACAAATGGAACAGGAGGTAAGTATAAGACACAGCTTGCACACAGAGAGTTTTGCCTAGTTTTTAGTCATATGCATTTTTTACCATAATTTCAAAAATTACCGTATACCCATTTATAAATCCAGCAAGAATGATGAAAAATTGGCAGTCATACAAGTGTAAATTTCTAATTCCAACATCACTTCTTTGATTTGCACCAGCTAAAGTAAGAGGCAGAACTGAAACAAGGTGCAAAGATGAAATAAGGAAAATTTTGGTTGATTTGAATGGTTGATTTGAGTACAGTGGTTCATGTTTGCTTATACCTGTTAGTAACTTAAAAATGAATTGTATTTTCTGTGTCATACTTCCTTGATGAGTAATAATTTACTCTTATTCCCTGAGTTATTTGCATTTATGTTAAATTAAAATCATTATCAAGAGAAGTGCATCACAATTAGACTCAGGAAATATGGAGGTTTTTTGCTGATGAATTTCACTTCTTGGGAGGTAATGAAAGTTTGTAATAAAGGGATTGTTTGTTTTCCTCAGCAGCAACTGGTCATTAATACTGTAGGTGATGCTGTAACACTGCCATACAGATACAGATATTCCAATGGTTTCAGATAACCAATTCTACCATAGCAGTGGGAGGCTGGGTGCCACATTCTGAGGTGTAGTCCATGAAAGTGACACCATGGATATGAGTCAAACTAGAGTTCCTTCTTTACAGTTTATACATTACTGTCTATTTTAGCAGTTGGTACTAAGAAAATTTTTTTGGCTTGTTCTTTCTGGCCACAAGGTACAGCATTTTATTCACTTATTCCATTTAAATAAAAGTCTATCAATGTCAATAACAAGTGGATGTGCCTGGGAGGGTAACTGAGCTCTGCAAAGAAGGGCTGAACCGTATTTTTAAACAGAATCCTTATTCCAGCATAAAAAATAGAGAAAACTTCCAGCATGCTATTAAAGAACACTAGTAACTGGATGCCTCTATATTATACAATGTGCATAAATAAACCAGTTAAAATAATACCCATAAAACCAATACAGTTCTGTTAAAAGGCTTGACTTAAAATGCCAAAATACTGCTTTGCCTTGAAGACCATTCATTTACACTGAACAGACATTGGGAGAATGAACTGTTGTAACATTGCTGTTCTCAGGAGACAACATGACTGTGTTAAATACTGCAGACTGGTTGCTGAGTTGCAGTACTCCCTCCTCTGCAACAAGTATGAGAAAGCCTGGTACAGTGCATGCGTGTGTGGTGTGTCCCCATGGCTGCTGCGTGACATCTCTCTCCATTTGCTCTGGTCTTCTCTTTTGCAGTTTGAACTCAGTTCTCATGGGGTTCCCCCTCACCCCAAGCATTTTTTCATACCCTTTCTCAAAGGCTTTTCCCACAGCCAGAAAACTGTTAGGAAGTTGCTATGAGCAGTTATCTTACAATGCTCTGAAAGTCATTTGATGAGCAAGGAGAATTTAACCCGCTTATAATTAGCTTAGCTGTCTACATGCTCTGAGTGACTGGGATTGTCTTGTGGTGTTCAGCATTGCTGGGAAGTGCCAGTAGTCAGCATTGGTGGAAGTCAGACCGATGGAATTTTCACAGAATGCCCATTTGCTTTTCTTTTGTTTTTAAGTAAAACGTTGCATGATTACCTGAGCACAAGTCAAGGTTGACAGTATTGTTCTTACTCCTACTAAGGCTTTCATTATTAATCAAAGCTTATGTCTAATGTGCTGCCACATGTAACTTGCCACTTTACAAAATTTTGGCCAAATTTTCCAAGCTGTTGTTTTCACTTATGAGTTTCCTGACATGTATTATTAATTGTCAGAAGTTGTAAGGATTAATAATGACTCTATATGTGACATCATTACAGTACATATGGGATTAATCATAGATGTAAACATGCATCACTAAGTTTCTCTACATGTCATTACAAAAGTGCTTAAATTGTACAGGTTTGGACTAAAGTTAGGAAGATTTCAAAAAACTTGTTGTTTTAAAAAATCCCTCAGAATCAGCTTGCCATTTGTAAAACATAAATGCAAAGAAAATTTACCAAAAAAAAGTTGCCTTGAGCACAAAAGATCATTTGCACTAGAATAAGTTGTTCCATGTGAATGCTGCTGCTGAATGACAAGATTTTGAGTTTAAGGAAGACTGAGACAGACTTGGGCTGTCTCCTCTTTTAGTTGTTCAGCATGTTCAGGTAAATGTGGAAGGTAACAATTTAAGTACTAATTATTAGTAGCGAGGAAATACAGTGTGTTACTTGTATTAAATCTGATTTTCTATAGACAGTAGAATATTTAGAATTGTGCTTCTAGTTGAGTATATTCCCAGAAAAACTCTTAAGCCCTGCTAAAAGAAAGAGGAAAATCATTCCTATGGCAAGCTGTGTGGTTTATTGTTCTACATGAGCTTTTAAAATTAGATTTGTTTGCTGTAACTTCTGTTGCACTTGCTTGTCCTCCCTCATGCATGGTATTAGCACCTCTTGCCCCTAAAACCCTGCATTCATTTTCAGTCCTTAACACAGAGTAATACTTTAGAGAAAATAAAAAAGTGGTCAGCAGAGTAGCAGTCATTTTGATCTGCTAAGTCCTTTCATCAAGGTCTGTTGTAGAAGCTGTTGCTTGTTGGGAGCTGTATTCCGAGTTAGCCTTAAAATAATGAAGTTTGGACGAGATCCCTGGAGGCCATTTGGGCCAAGAACTGCTCAGAGCAGAGCCAACATCGCTGTTAGATTCGTGTCGCTCAAGGCAGCATTGAATTTTCCTCCTACATCTAATTGGATTTTTCCCTTAGTGCAGCTTGTATCTGTTCTCACCTGTTGTTTCCCAGGGCACCTTTTGAGGTGAGTGTGCCTTTGTTCTTTGTCATCTTTGCACCTTCCCATCAGATAGCTGCAGGCAGCAATTAGCTCTCCCCTCAGCCTCCTCTTCCTAGGACAGCACAAGCCCAGCTTCTTGGGGCTCCTTGTGCACCACGTGCCCCAGCACCTGATGATGTTTGTAGCTCTGCTCTGTCCCTGTGTTGTCATGGTCTAAGCCCAGCTGGCAACTAAGCAGCACACAGCTGCTTGCTCTATCCCATCTGAAAGCAGAACATGGGCAGTCTTCACTCCTAGCAGCACTCAAATGTATTTCCAGTTAGAGGTTGCTTCTCATTTTATTTTCACTCTTTCAATACATTCAAACAAAACAAACAAAACAAACAAAACAAACAAAAAATACAAACAAAAAAAAATTAGTTCTCTTAAAGTGATGTTAGAATATTTTCTTTTTTCTTAGTTAGCTTTGTGCTTTTTCCCTTCTTTATTTAATGACATAAAGCATAAAGAAAAATAGGTAGTAGTAAAAATTTCCAGCTACACTGAGAAAGGACCTTGATGAACTCCTTACTGTCATGAAATCTGAATGCAAAAAAATAGAACTGTTTAAAGTCAAGCACATATAAAAACAATTTCTATAGGTATTTTCCAGCAAAATTCAGTGCCAATATAATGTTTTTCCTCAAGTTAAGTGCAGGAGAGAGTTTCTTTTGTATTAGATTATTTTCTTGACAGGGAAAGAAAAAAGATTGTGTCTATTCCTGCTGATGGCAGTGCAGTGCAGCTGGCATTAACCAGAACTAGACACAATTCTAAAGTAAACATTTCAATTCATGACTGACGTTTTTGTTAAATATAACAGTTAAACACATACTGTCTCCTTGGATGCAGTACTGAACATTTGTAGCTGACTATGTACAATAGTGAAATACCTTCTTAAGCAGAAAGAGATAAAGGTACTAAAAAGTACTTTTTTTCATGTAGGTAGATGTCCAGACTTTGCAAAACTGCATAGAGGCATCCATATGTAGGAATCAGCAAATAAATTAATTTACATACTTTTGATACTTCAGGCAATCACACATGTTCCACATGACTGAGAGGTTTAATGGAGACCATCATTTTGTGACAAATGGCCCTTGAACCTTTTCTTGATATGTGTTTTATTGATATGATGAAAATAAAATCACATCCTTCTCAAATAATTATAGAAATGGGAATGACTCATTACTCTGTTGCTCCTAAGAATTACTTTTTTTCATTTTGGGTTGTTTTTGTCACAGCTTATTTTTTTTAATTGAAAAGATAATAGCTAGCAAAATGAGGAGTGCATGACAGCTTGCAAAAATGTGGCTGAAATTCTTCCCTAATGATTCCATATTGAATTAATATCCCGCTGCTTGCAGGGAGACTATTTAGGAGTTTTAACTACTATTTATGGTAGTTTTATGAAAGAGAAACAATAATGAAAAGAAGTTTACATTCAAAAGACACACATTCAAAAAGCTTTTAATCTGAGACAGTAGATGGAAAGATGCAACTGTATGGCTGAAACCAGAAGGGGCTACTTGGTTTGTTTGGCACTGGTGCACCAGTAACGCTGCAGGGCACTCTAGCAGTCACAGAGACAAATGCATCCCAATTTCTCCTGCTTGATCCAAACAGGTGTCCCTCTGACTTCAGCCCAGGTCACTTGTACAATTGTAGGCATCAGCAGCATCCCATGTGACTTCCTGAATAAGATCCATTAGGCAGTGTGACTGGACGTGGAATCTGAATTTGTAGGAGAGGTAGCTCACACAGGGCTTGTCACAGGCAGCTTTACTGGTAGCTGTGCAATTTGCAATGAACAACTCACAGTGCTCACAGACACAGGGAAGAATAGCAGAGTGGGTCTGTAGGTGTTGTTCTGGACATTTTTCCTGTGAGGAAACAAAGTCCTTTATTTATCTCCTGCACAGCCTTTTCCTCTGCCTGTATGAGGGACGGCGAGCTTGAGGGCAGCTCAGGCCACACTTGGAATCAACCTCTGGAAGTACCTTCTGTCTCATCTAAACATAAAGGGAGATTAGTGGGCACTTTTTATACGCTTGATTTAGGTGACATGAATCTGTGCCACAGTTTTTAAATACATTGCCAGCTCAGAACATGAAATTCCCCCCTTTCCTTTGCTGTTGCCAGTGCAGTCAAACGTGGCTGCAGTGATGTTGACAGATGAGAGCTTTGGTCAGCTTAGCTGAGGCCTCTCAGAGGCGTCAGGTGACGAGCTGGCAGAGAACGCCTCCCCTTGGCCTGTGTTAGACCTGCCGGGGGGCTCTGCCAGGCTGCCTGTCACAGCAAAGGCTTCTTCACAAATCCCAGGCTGTGCCCTCGGAATTTGGGTACCTGGCAGGCAGCTGTGGTGGTTGCTTGTGCAGGTCTTCATTGCGTCTTCTCTATGTGGCCCTGGGCACCAGCCTGTGATATCCAGAAATGTGTGATGAGTGTTTGTGCCCAGCCCTTCATGAAGAAATTGCATTCATATGTTGAGGCTTCCACATTTGCCAGTCAGACAGGCTATGAGGAGCTGCAGCACATTCTCTACTGCTCTTTCTTACCACATCAGCTGGATGGCTGGTTCCCAAATTCCATTACAAAAATCCATGCCAAATGTTCTGTCCAGGTAACATGCTTAATTACAGAAATCTGTATTGCTTCTGTGGTGCTTTTTGTGCTTTCAGTTACAGCTTGGATGGTAAGACTGCATGAATATCCCCAAGAAATAAATTTGAGTTCAGAGTAGACTAAACTGTTTGGTAACCTCTGATTAAGAAGCTGACTTGTCATGGCTGTCATTTGTGTCCTACTCTAGTTCTTTGGCTTTTTTTTTCTTTCAAACTTCTCTCTTCAGTTATGAAAAATTGCTTGTTGGTGGCCTAGCTCAAAAAGACCCTCACAGACTCTGTAAAATGGGAAGGGAAAAGGCAACATGCTGGCACTGTGAAAGTAATTTCCTTTTGTATTATCATGAAACCATATTACAATTGTTTTACTTGTCAGGCAAAACTATTTCTGTTATGTGCTACATCCCTTGACAGTTAATGTTTCCTTCCTCTATGCTACTCTTAGGATATTGTTAGAATCAATCAAATTTATGGTGAAATCTCCCCCAGAGATGTTCCAGTTGCCAAAACCAATAGCTGGATGAATGCACAGGTACAGAGCTGTGCAGATAAATGGGCATTCCTGTCAGATTCCTGTCAATTGTCTCAGTATGGTGCTAGAGCAAAGATTGAAGCTGTTGCACGTGGGCTTGTTTGAGCTGGACTACCATTAGTGAGACTGGCATGAGGACTCCAGTACAAATCTAGAAGTAAAATCTCATGTCTACTTATTCTCCTATGTAGTGTCTCTTCTTGCAGTCAAAACAGAACCCATGAACAACAGTGAAACAGCAACAACAACTGGAGATGCATCGCTTGACACTTTTACTGGGTCAGGTAAAGCCATAATAAAATGACTTTTTGTTAGATGCACATTAATGCAGCATTTAATTGCCATCACTAGTGAACATTTGCATGGAAGCAATCTTTACAAAGCTACTATAAAATATTATAGTATTTTATACATAACAATAACAATAACAATAACAATAACAATAACAATAACAATAATAGATATTTCATTTTTGTAAATGCAACTCAGCAATTTATGTGAGGTGTGATCTTAAAGAATGCCTAATAATGATGCCTTAGACCACTGCTGTTTGCAAAAGTCTCAAAATAATCCTGTTATTATGATACTGTAGATCTTTTTTCTCAGCGTTAGTCTCGTATGATATTAGGAAAAAAAATGGGATTGTATTTGTAACAGCCATGCTAATTTGAGCAGTTTCAAATCTTAAGGTTTATGACTCAGTGCTAATCCTTTTACTGCTATTAGCAGTGTTTTACTTTAAACACTGACCAGATTGCCATGTTAGTCTCTTTCCACTGGGATGAGCTACTTTCTTTCCAAGAAAATTGTTTTACTTTAAATAATCATAGGCTTCAATTACTTCTCAAAAAATTCAAACAAACAGTTATTTAAGTAGATCCTTATAAATTATTAAAATGTGATGAACTGTGGAAAAGTACAGATAATCAGCCTTCTAATCATTCAGTTGCGTCCTGCTAATTATAATATTAAAGAGGAGAGGAAGGAGGGTAAGTTTTGCATCTGGAAATATGAGTTCAGTAATGGCCTGACTGAAATGAAACACCAAAGCCACAAATCACATGCCACACTGATGCTATTGTTACTTAGGTAGACTTAGGTAGTCAAGCCCTATTTAAAATATTTTGGAAATCATGATGTTTCTGTGTAACTAATTTTTTTTAATCAGGTTTTGGGATTGTCTTTTAGCCATCAGTTAAACCCAAAAGTTAATTATTCAGAAAAGTATTTATAACTAATTTATTGTCTGAAGAAAAGGTATTTTGTGGGATTTAAAGTATTTACTACTTCTGATTAGAAAAATTTCCTCATTTTAATTTTCATTGTCCTCATTATAATTGTACTGAGAGGAACCTTAGCCTAAAGACGAAAAAGTTCCATAAAAATTAAATAGTCTGGGCAAAAATTTAGCTTTTCTTTTTCACTCTGTTTTCACTCAATGCTAAAATTTTATTAGTAATGATTACTAATCATAAACTATCCAGCTCTATATATGATTTTTCATTGTTGGTGAAGTTTTATCAGCTTCTGCCATGTATTTAAGGCAGTTGAGTTTTATTCTATGGCTAAGGCAACATCGGAGTGACAAGAATTGCAGCCTTCAGCTCAGGTTTAGATAACTAAGTAACAGCTTGATTTCCCCAGGTGCCACTCACCCATCAGCTTCCACTGACTTCAAAAGAAGTCTTGAGATCTCTACACTTTGCATGTTTGGAAAGTTGGTGCCTCAAAAAAAAAGAGATTTAAAAAAAGGCAGGAATTTGAGCCTTGCATAATCCTTTTTTGCCTGTTAGCCACCTGCGTACTCACAAGAAATACGAACCTGATTCTCAGTTTAGTGCACAAACTCAAGCAGTAAATGAGTACAGTCATTCTCAGTGGGAAATCAATAGTCTGCCTGTCTGGGTGATGTGCAGTCTTCATCATCAGAGCGAGACGCAGAGCTGCCCTGATAACGCACTCAGCCTTTCCTAAAGATTGAATGTGTTACTTCTGTGCTTGCCTTTTACTTGTACTACAAAATCAGACAATTTTTTTTCCTCTAATTTTATGGGAGAAGTGCTAAAGAGTGGTAAAAACTCAGCAACACCAGGATTTCTCTGAGTTTTCAGCCTAACTGGTTAGTTGGGAAGTTTAGTGTGTTGTCAAAACCAGTAAATGCTGACTAGTAGACAGATGTTGTTTCAAATGAGCCACCTGTGACTGAAAGAATGCATAGCAAAGCCCGACACTGAACAGTTTGTCTTTTTTCTGAAAATGAGGGACATATAGGTGTTACTCCCAACCATGGCAAAGTCATGATGCCAGCACTTCTCTGTATTTTATGAAATGAGGCATGGGTGAAAAGAGAACTCATGGTGCTGAGATGCATTTGAGAGTCTGCCATGCAGAAATCCTCTCCTTCAAACACTCTACCCATTTAGATTGATTTCCCTGCTCCAAGAGCAGTCAAAACACATGACCTGTCCTGGAACTGAGCAGAAGGCTCAACAAGCCAGGTGGGGTGTAAAGCAGTCATCTCTGTCCCTAATGACCACTGTAAGTGATGGTCAAACAAATTGTGTCAGGTACAGGGCAGGAGAGACAGATTAGACTCCACAGAAAACTGATTCTGTGAGCTGTTGATTGAAAAGATAAAGCACACAGATCTCTTGAATTTAGAGTGGCAGCTCTCCTGGGATTGGGAAGCCCCTGTTCAGGGCTGCAGCCCATGTGTTGCAGCTCATGCTCAGGGCCCCGTTCCCCTGTGCTGGAGAGCTGCCCCTGGGAGATGCTGTGCCTCTGGGCATGGGTTAGCCAGGTGAGGAGACCCATTGTGCACCCCCCTTCCTCCTCCTCCTCCTCCTTCTTCAAAGAGCAGCAGTTGGTAATTAGTGTCCTCAGTTTGCAGCCCTGTGATTCTGCAGCACGCTCCCATGGGGTGGGCATTCACAGGACTGGGAGAGGTTCACAGCCCTTAACTGAGAGTTTCATGCACTGAGAGTTTGTTGCAGCTGCTATACTGTAATACTGTGTATATATTGCTTACAACTGTGGATTAATTTGAGAACTGTTTTATCATTTTAGTGGAGTGGAGAGAGAGGTATTTGATGGTCTCATTGTTTTTACTTAGTATTTATTACATACAGGGTACAGAATACAGTTTATAGGTATAGAAAACAATTTCTGAAGGCTATGAAGATGAACTTAGGGAATGTCACTGCTGTTTGACCTACATTTGGTTCCCTTGTGCATAGAGATTGTGATGCTACTTAAATGAGGCCTTTTTAACCTAACCTTTTTGCTGAGAATTTTCCAGATACGTAATGAAAATATACAAAACTCCAGCCCATATTAATATACTGAACCAAACACATGCTATTAAAACAGCTAATGATCATTTAAGTCCTCCACAACCACCTTGGTAAGAGCTGGCTGTCAGCTTGCCCCCTCTGTCAAACAACAGTAATGGGAACTGGAGAGATCAAGGGTCTTATACCTGCCCTGAAGGGCATTCCTCTGGTAATTTCAAGTACTGAAGTATTAAGAATATTTGAGTTTTTCAGAGAAGAAACAATTTTGTTTTATTTTGTTTTGTTTTTTTAACATAAGCACCACAAAAGAGTATTTAGCTCCGTTCATATAATGCCTGTATAAAGCACCACAAAACCCAGAGGAACCTGACTCCATCATCTCCTCCACTGCCAGCAGTCCTCAGAGAAGAGATGTCAGGAGGGTATCCAGCAGCCAAAGTTGAAAAAGTTTGATAACCCTTAGAATTAGCAGTTTCATCTGTGAGATACAGGTGTGGTCTGCAGGCTCCACTCGGTCACAATGTTCTCTTCTGATAGGCCTCACACTTTGAAATGTTTCTCAAACATCTCAGTTTGTAGTGGACAAATTGCAGGGACAAGCTACATATAAACAGTGAAAAGAATGGATTTTTTAGTCTTGCCTCTTTCTCTTCCTTACAACTGGATCATCAGGGAAAACTGGGGATAAAAACAAGGAAATTTAAAATCAGAGACATTCCAAAAGTATTTTATTTTCTTGTCTGAATTTTAAAAATAAGGTATATTCAGAAAGAATGAAAAGGCAAGCAGGACAGTTTTTGCTGAAAATGATTAGGTTTTGATAGCTGAAATTATTTAAATTAATAGTAATTAATTTTTTTTTTTGTAGTTTACGTAAGGTGGAGTGGCATGGTAAATGTGCTTTAAGCCAAGTGATTAATTGATTGAGCTGTCATCCAGCAAATGATGAGACAAAAAGTGAAGCAGTATGGCTAAAATGATCCAATAAGCCGATAATGGATCACAAAAGTTCCTTGCCCTGAGAACCACCAAGGTCACTCTGCTGCTATTGTTTGTCTTTAGAAAGGTCACAGAGCTACAACAGGGAAGATTAATTACTCATCAACCCTGAAATAACCAAGAGCATTCTTTGGAGTTCTATGAACCAGTTACTTTGATAGAAACAGCTATAGGTTTGTCTGACTCTGGGAATAGCTGCCTGCACATGTAGCAGATTGCTCTAAACCATGGAAAGTGATTCTCAAAAAAACCCTCAAAAACAATATCCACACAAAATTAAATTTAGCAGATTTCCATTATAGGCAAACCTTCAATATGTTTTCAAACAGCAACTCTTTTATGAAATCTAATGGCACATGTTTTAAAAGTCATTATCCAATTCTTTACTTTCAAGCCATACTTACCTGCATGTTTTAAAAAGAAGTTAATTGTTTTTCTTCTACTGTATTTTCCTTTTAAGTTCTACACATTCTAAATGCATTTAAACTATCTTTAAAAATATGAAGTTCTCTGTGTGTTCAAAGCAGTAGATCTGAGAGACATTAATTAGGGCTGGATGTAGAAATGTATCATGTTTCATAAAATAGTCAGGAACCTAAACCTATTTGTCACTTATAAAATTCAGAATGTTCATTTCTACTACCATTATGAATAACTCAGGAAGAGGGTACACTTTGAAGTACAACTATGATTGATTAGACTAAAGAAATTCCAGTGCTTCATTGTGTACTACTTTAATCTTTTGAAAAGTGAATGAACAGCAGATGGCCTAATAAAGACACTCTGTATGTTTGCCCAGTATGGATTTGCTCTGAAGGGATTGGTTCAACACTTTAGAGTACATATATTTGGAATACATCTGTCTTAGTCAAGACAGATGGCTAAAGGAAAGGGAGACTTCCAAACACTTGGAATTAATCCAATGTGAGCGCTGCTTCTGGATGAAATTTTAATGGGTTATGACTATTGTTCTGTTAGCTTTCTTGGAGAATGCAGCTGTGAGTAGTATAGATACACGCAATTTGGATGGCTACTGAACAGGACTGTTTATACATACTTTAAAATAAATATGCTGTTTTGAGGGGCTATATTCTACTTGTCCTCTTTTTAAAGAATGGTAGTTGCTTTCCAGTGCTCAATCCAGTATCTTCCATCATCTAAGCTAACTAACATTAGTCACAGCCATATAAAACATGATTTTCCAAAATTGAACTTCTTGTTAATGTGAGACTATAAAGATATGTGTATGTTACTTCAATCCCATGAAATATGTTAGATCCCAAGATTCTTTTTAACTACCCCTTTTAATACAACTTGCAAATTTGAAAGATCTACAGTGTGTGGTGATGTATGAAACACATGCCTCTGCAATATACTCAGAAATGTTAGTCAAGTTGAGAAAACATGACACACCCATGCTAACTATAGAGTTCTGCACAACAGAAAAAGATTTGGAAGTTTTTAATTTATTTTTTTTTAATGTTGCGGTACTGATGACATCTGCTTCCTTGAAAAGCTGTCCATTTCAATAGGCTTCTCTGTTAATGTTTCTGCTTTAGTTCACACTGTGTGTCTGTGTGGGTCTCATGGTGTTTCTAACTGCTGTACTCTTGTTTTCTGTTTTGCAGTAATAACAAGTAGTGGCTACAGTCCCAGATCAGCGCACCAGTACTCTCCACAGATATATCCCTCCAAGTTAGTGTCTGCACCTCTTCTAGTCTTTCATAGACCTTGGCTGTGGGCAGTTTTGTGGTTTGTTGCAAACAAGTGTTCAGCAGGAGAAACAGAGAAAAAGGAAAATTCTTAAGCCACGGTACTGGCTCCGGTACTGACTCCCTCTCCAACTTTTTTTTCCGTGTGTGTCTACAGAGTAAGATCCTGCTTCGTGCAGTGTTGCTGCACAAGAAACACCCTTGAATATCAGCACACAACAGAAGTAAAATAATCAGACTGTTGCATTCTCAGACATCAGCATATTAACAGCATGTGCAGGGAATATATACAGATATATTTTGGAGAAGTCAGTTTATATATAGAAATCACAATTGCACGCACAAGTTGCATACTGGGGGGTAACCCTGTCCCTGACCCTTCCAAGGCCAGCATTGCCAAACGCTTCCAAACATTCCACAATCATGAACCACCCTTTCCTTGTCCCTCTCCGATATCATAAGATTTAAAAATCAAATAAATTGGATTAGCTTTTAATCTTATTATTTTTAAGCCAACGGATGTTGTTAGAAATAAAAAATTTCTTCATGCCTTTTTTTTTTGGTGGGGGGAAACTGACTCTTGGGCAATCATACAAATCCAGGAGTGAGAACTTTAGGAAGAAGCACCAAAGATGTATGAAACTGCTGCAGTTGGCAGTATATTAGTTTGCTTGTCCTGTGCACAAGGATTTTTGATTCCAGTATGCCATCTGTTTGTTTCCATTTATTTGATACAGCTATCAGTGTGACTTTGGTACAGAGAAAACATTGAATCTAAAGATTCAAGAGCTAATTAAGCTCTTTCAAGATTTTTTAAAATAAATTTGCAATCTTATGACAGTAGCCAAAATTTATTAATACAGAAAGTAGGTGCCTGAAGTAAGAACCATCATTCCAATTTGAACAGGTTTTGGCAAACTGCATTAGGTACTTTTGGCCAAATACATTACAAGGTTTAATAGAATTTTCAATCTACTGTTACAATTTTTTGGCATCTAAATTAATGAGTAATCCTTTTCTGATAGTAAATGCTGCCAACTCTACTGAATTAATTAGAAAGGAAAAAAAATTAAAAATTGGAATCTGAAATTTAGTCATGGCTTTTAATGGCCAGGTTTCAGTTAGCGTAATTCTGCAGAGTGTGTTTATTCAACTCTTGGTCCATAAAGTCTTACTTGACTTACAAAACAATCCAAGAAAAATGTTTCTCTGTATATTTTTGCAACTCTGGAGGGCAAAAATTTTAAACTTGATTTTATTCAATCTCTATAAAACCTCAGTGTTCACAAATAAAAGACCATTTTTATTTCCATTCTATTTTCCTAGCCCATATTTTCCGAACATTTAAAGTCCATCTGGTTACCAAAGTACTGGTGTCAGTATTTTTTATGCTGCTCTCCATGGGTAGGATCCATCTCCCATTGAAGCTAGGGGCTACATCTACATGTCTGTTGAAGCAGAACCTACACAGATGACATAATGTACTAGCTTCAACATTCACCTCTGTGTTTCCTCTATTCTTCTAGTCCAAGTTTCCCTCCACTGGATTAAAAACCTGGGGAGGCTTTTCTAATTGAAGCTTTCTGATCTCGGCTGAAAGATGTTAAATCCATATAAAGACATGCAGCAGTGGCACAGCCCACCTAAAAGTGGACACAGTATCTTAAGCATTAAATTGTAGTGATGGGACAGCGTAAAATATTCACTGTTCCTTGGGCAATGTGGGACAGAGTGTCTTTCAGCTTATTCCAGTGGGGGATGGAATAAATCCCAGAAGAGGAGCAGTTGGCAGAATAATGAACTGCCTTTGGACATCTTTAAACCTTTTTCTTTACTTTATTGCTTGAATCAACATACAAAGTATTTGTTGCCACAGTAATGCTATTTTTCCTGATATTTAGGCCCTATCCGCACATTCTTTCTACACCAGCAGCTCAAACAATGTCTGCCTATGCCGGACAAGCGCAGTATTCGGGAATGCAGCAGCCCGCGGTGTACACGGCCTACTCACAGACAGGACAGCCCTACAGCCTGCCCACCTACGGTATTTGACCACTTCTTATTCACCTTGCCTACTAATAAAAGCAGTGCCGGCTGCAATGCCATTTTTGCTTTCTCTTTTTTGTTTTCCCAACCGTAACAAAATATTTTAAAGAATCAGTTGAAAATTAATTTCTTACGCAGATTTGGGTGTAATGTTGCCAGGCATCAAGACGGAAAGTGGGCTCTCGCAGACCCAATCTCCTCTGCAGAGCGGGTGCCTCAGTTACAGCCCAGGGTTTTCCACCCCACAGCCAGGCCAAACACCCTACTCCTACCAGATGCCAGGTGAGCAGCCACCTCTAAAATTTAAAGCTAACTATTCCTTCCCAGTGCTAATAGGCATATGTGTTGCCATTTTCATCATCTGTTACTTCAGATCTGGGCATGGAATGCAGTCCCTACTTGAGCCTTCTTTTGGATTTTTCAATGGAGTGAAATGCACTAATTTTTTTAGTGGCAGGACTGGAAGCACTTTTTATATTTACTAATATATAAAAATCTCTTTTCCTTGTTTTTTATGTTCCCGAGTATAATTTGATACATAATGTTCCTGACATAATTTGATACTTGTTTCTCCTTGGATTAACATAATTTTTTAGAATTTCTCCTTAATTTATATTTATTCTTTCATTTGCTATTCTGTTAATAATTCATTGATTACCCTCTGGTCACTGATAACCTATTTTATTTGAATCATTTTTAAACTTCTTATACAATGGGTAATCTTCTGCATATTACAAACTGCAATATGAATCATCTGATTTATGTTGAAAATAAGGACATGCCTCATTACAGATTGATTAAAAACACCCGGATATAGTCTTTTGAAAAGGTTCTGGTTTTGCAAACATAGCACTGAAGTATTAGAAATGAAGGCAAAAGAGAAAAACAGTATTTGAGGAGAAGTGAGAATGCAATAAACTGAAAAATCTTTCTAAATTGGTGAGATGACCTTCCTTGCATGGTGTGGAGAAGAACGTATGCCTGTGTGTGTGGAAGTAGTATTTAATTTCTTTTGAACTTTCATTACAATGCTTTATACTTCTAGTGGAAAATACAAGTGGCTTTTTTGTTCTGTTTAATCTATACCTTAACATGGAATATTCTAATTAGAGTTTTATTTTGATTCACAAACAAGTTCACAGAGTTAATTATATTTCTTAATTTTAGGTTCTAGTTTCACACCATCGTCCACTATTTATTCAAACAATTCTGTTTCGAATTCTACAAACTTCAGTAGTTCACAACAGGTATGAATATAACCATTTTTATTTGCCAGTTACAAAATGACTTCTATAACTCCAGAGATAGCTTGTTACTTTAATTTAGATCTGTTATGTTCAATGAGACTCACTGTAGTTTAATGCTATTTTCTGTGGAAAATGATCAAACTCTTACTGGAAGCCTAGCTACATATTTTAGCACTTAAATATTTCAGCAGCTTCCCTGTAGTCTTTTAGTAAATACATTTAAATTAAAAGACACTAAATATTTTTGAATTTTAAAAGAATGCTAAATGAAGCCTTCAAAACACTAGCAAAAGTCATATGACTGTACGCTTAGAAATATTTAGTAGGAAAGAATTCACTCATTACTGTACTTAATGGAGTGCTCTGCTGCATCTGCTGTTTCAGGATTATTCTTCATACACAGCTTTTGGCCAAAATCAGTATGCACAGTATTACTCAGCATCAACATATGGTGCATATATGACCTCAAACAACACGGCTGATGGCACTTCATCATCATCAACTTACCAATTACAGGACTCTCTCCCTGGCTTGACTAGTCAACCAGGTGCAGATCTACATTCAGGTGAAAACAGTTTTTGTATTTTATTTGCTGTTTGTATAAAGATTTCCATATTCAGCTTGCATGGATATTGATATTTATGTTCGTGCCTTTCAGAAAACTTTGTCATGTAAACCACCCAAAATAAGCTATTTTACTGGTTAGTTAGGAAACCTGTCCAGTTTGTTTGCTAATTAAAGAAAGCTTTTTGCAGACTGAGATAGTTGTCTGTATCACTGGTAGTAGAACAGTGCTGTTTCCACCTACACATTCTGAATTATTGCTGGGAAGAATTTAAAGCAAGATACCATTTTTCACTTAAAAGCACATGGACTTTGTTCAAATTTGTACAAGGCATGCTTGCTAATTCACTAATTTAAGTAACCAAGAATAAAGAAATTAGTTATTAGCACCACAAAGAAAAATTGTATTGGAATAGTTGAATTTGCAAGGAGAGCATTATCTGGAGACATGAGGAGGCTCCCTTTGCCTGCCCAGCCCTGCCCTCTTGTGCACAGCCACCACAGCACAGTAGCCTGCTGCTTGCATTCCTAGGACATCCCTGGAGGGTAGTGGCAGTTTTTAATTTTTCTTCAGCACTCTTAGAGCAGTCTCTTTCAAGGGCACCAGCTTCACTCATCCAGTGTGGGCAGTGTCTGCCATTCTAAAAAGTCTAAGAAACTGGGTTTTGGATTAGGCTCTAAATAGGGGAGGAATTTTTGCTTTAGTCACAAAATCACCTTATTGCATAGATCTTCCTAACAACTTATTGAAAAATACAATAGAAAGACTAATGTATTATTGTAATGAATTTGTACAAATGAAAGGTAACACTGCGTAGAAAAGTATAAGCAAGGGCTCGCACATAATATGAACTGCTTAAATTTGCTAAAAATACTGGAATTTTAAATAAATTAGTTGAAATTTTTCCTACCAGATGTTTTCCTCAGGCTGATTTTTAAGATGTAACAGTGCATATGTTTGTGGGTGTATGTTTGGGGTGGGATATGGATATGGATATGGATATGGATATGGTATGGAAGACTCGGAGATACATATTCCCTTGATTTTTGATGAAAAGTGCAATGTTATTCAGTAGTCTCAGAATGCAAATCTAGGAAGAGCCTAAAGGTAATGTGAAATCAAGTGAAATTTCAACAAGTGGAGGATATCTATAACAGGCACAAATCATATGCAAGGAATTTTTAGAAGAGTATGGAGTGTACTCACAAGTTACATGTTTTGATGACTGTGTATGTCCTGTGGACTTTCACTTGCTGCTTTGTTATTCCTTCATATTATTTTTTGAGAAAAATCAGACAGTTTCCCATGTTGTTTCTCCCATAGGTGTCTGTTTCCTAGAAACACTGTGTAAATGTATCATGTATTTTTACGAGTACCATTAGTATTAAATAGAATTGGCAAAAAAAAAGGAATCTTAAATAGTTTGTACGTGTTGGAAAAGTATTGAAGGCTTCACATCTGTGAAACAGTAAAGGTTTTTCTTGGTTGTGGATTGTTTAAGCATATGAACTTTTTCTCTTGTTAAGTAGGTTGAGCATCTGAGTTTAACAAATCCACCCCCATCTGCTCCTTATTTCTGTGAAGGGTTGCAGCAATCATGTGTCCCTCTGCTGAGAGTGCAACACCCACTTTGTGAATGCATGACATGCCTGTGCCCTTCTGTGTCACAGTAAAAATAAATTTCCATTGGTGAGGGGCAGTGTCTGGGAGATAATTTCAGATATCACAGATCATACTGCAGTTCTTTAGCACTCACCATGTCCACTTGCTGTCAAACAAGTCCTTAAGACTTATTCCAACAAAAACCTGAGACTAAACACAGCAAGGCACTTAAGTCTTCTGGCATCTCTACTAGTTGTTAATTCAAATATCTAATCAAAACCTCTAGTACTATCTGCACATACAGGATTTCTCATTTGCATAATAAATCCCCATCGGATCAAGAGTTAATACCAGCTACGATTTTATTTATTGACTGTGTAAAGGAAATGAGATTAAAATTGAAATAGACTTTACTCTTTCTGCTATTCATGACAAGCAATAACACACTACAAGTCAGAAAAAAATGAAAAAGCAGGCCTGTAATGTTGGACCTGTCTTCTGGCTGCTCTGTCTGGTAAGGATATGTAACAAAAGTCAATCCATAAGGAAAGTATGAAGGGGCTCAGAAATTCATCCATTCCACATTTGTGTAATGCTCATCTTCTTAAACCAGGGACTTCTCTTCTGAGCTTGCCTTGAGCCTGCCTTATATTAAGATTTTTCAAAATGCACTCCTTACCAAAGAGTATTTGTGAGATAAATAGGTGTCCCCTAGGGCACTTCATCTCAAACAGGGATAGCTCAGATGGACTGGGAGGTGAGGTCTCAGGACGTAAGTACACTTGAGTATATTTGATGAACACATGAGTACATTTAATCTGGGGCAAATAAAACTCTAGCAGATAATATAGGCCTGGATAAAAGCTTCCTGTGAAGGCACCTTGATATCATATATCCAGGGTTAGGGGAGGCAAATCACCACAGGATATTAGCTCCCATTCCATTACTGGGATGCAGCAAAGCTTAATTTGGTACCCACAATGAAGTCACGCTTCACAGCTTCTCTGGGAGACAGCATTAGGCTTTTATTCAGACTGCACAAACTCTTTTTTTTCTTCTTAAGTCATAGAACCATGTTTTAACAAGGAGGAGGGGACGTTCACATCATTGAACTGGAGGTGGGAAACAATCTCCTAGATATGAAAGACCACCTCCATTTGTAATGTGTAATTCCCTTTGTAACTTGGTGCTGTAATTCCCTGTCCGCTAATGGGAGCTGCTGCAAGGTCTCCATAGCATGAAAAGCTTCATATTGGACAAGTGTATTGGATGTGTAAGGACATCTGTGATAAAGAGGTCATTCAATACTCTGGTTTTAACATTTTCCTCCTGTTCTCTTGGATCTCTGGCCCTGCTCACAGTCCCAGTGGGAAGAGGCTATGAGGTGTATTTATTAGGCATGTGTTGGATATTGAGAAAGCTAAAAAATTTCAAGCATTGTAATGAAAATTTCTGTCCATCATAAGCTGCAGTAGGAGCTCTTCATGATGTTAATGTTTTCAATACTCTTTGGTACCAGAATTTCTCACATTCTTTTATGTTACAGAGCTGAATTTTAAATAAGTTTTCATTTTGTCAGCATTGACCTCATTTCTAAAGCAAACAGAGGATAAGAAAAGCGCAGTTTCTCCTTTAGACTGCTGTAGGTAAAAAGCAAATCAAGCAATTAAGCCTACAGTTGTTTAAAAAAACAAGCACCACTGACTTCTGCAGTTCTAAAATAGATGCATACCTTGCATTCAAGTCAGAGACAGCTGCTCATTCTGATTTAGAGATTAGTGTAATGAAATAAAGTTGGCTTTAAATGCCTAGATTTTACAAGGAACAGCGATTAGTTACAGTACTGATTAATAGATAATTATGCAATCCTGTACAGCATTGTCCCAAGCAGAAGCCTAGAGCAACTGGTAATGGCTAATGCTAAATGAAAATTTGATTTATTTACTTCAGTTGTTGGGTAATTTCAGAGAAGATTTAGAAGAGGAGGGTTTTTTAATATTTTATTTTTGGTAGATTAGAATAAACACAGTCATTGAGAACAGATGTTTGAATACATTACTGTGGAAATGAGTCTTGATTTTGTTGTAATGTGTTGAAGTGTAATAAATAAGAAGATTTTTGTGGTAAGAATGTAAACATTCATCTTCACTTTCTTAGTTTTTGCTTTTTCTTCCTGGGGGTTTGGTTTTGTACATTTTTTCCACTCGATCAGAAAAACCTAGGAAACTATTTTTGCACAGAGGTCTTGCACACTCAGAACTTATTTTGGAGCCATTGTAGGTTTTTGCTGCACAGGGATTCTGATTTGGATGCTTCTTGTACATTTGTAATTACCCAAGTACATTTTGCTGTTCTTATGGGGAAGAGCCAAGATAATGTGATCCTTATTGATTGTTTCACTGCCTGCTGTGACCTTGCTGACATCAACACCATGCCAGGAATAGAAATGAGTAGTCAACAAGAACTGTCTACTCTCCCCATTCTTTAGGGATTTCTGCCTGTGTGTCTTGTCCTTTCTCTGCATATCTCTATGAAAAGCCATTTAACCTCTTTTACTAATGCTCAGCCTCCCTTCACTGTCGTGGTGACCCTCACCTGGACCAACTCCAGTTTGACAATATCACTCTTCTACTTGGGGACCCAAAATTGCACATTTTTCCAGATGTAGTCTTGCAAGTTCAGAAGAGAGAAGAAAAATCAGTCTCCTTCACCTGCTGGACACTCGGTGATGCTCTTTAGTAAAAATGAAAAAAAAATAAATTAGATTCCAACTCAAAAACAGATGCATCATAGATGACTTTTGGGAAATATTTGTACCAAGTGTTATTTTATTCTGCATAGTTGCCATCATGAGCACTTTTAACAAATATTACCTGTGGCCCAGGAATGCTCAATTACAGGCAGCTCAAGGACGCTCTTGAATCAAAATCTGTACTAGATGTCAGATCAAAGCTGTACCCTTTCCTCCTCTTCTGGAAAAAAATCAAATCATTATTAATAGGATAAATTAAGAAGGGTTTTTTTGTCATTTAGCACTTGGGAACCTAGTCAAACTGCATTTACTGCTAGAAGTTTTGAAAGTTGAAGATGCTAAGCTTCATTAAATGAGGAATTCAGGGATGGACTTGAGTGTGGTTAAGATGAGCTATGCCATACCAGGCCAAAGGCCCTCCCAGCACATCTCTGTGACAGCCCTCAGTGCCTCATGCTTAGAGAAAGACGATCAGAACACAGCAAGTACTACTTCATGCTCTTTCAGGTACTAACAGGAATATTGCATTTAATATTATGACTTTCCTCTGACAATTTATGGGCTGAGGTATGGTGAAGGAAAAAAGTGAACTTTACTAAAGAGCAGGTGACATGGAAGGAGGACATGAAACTGGAGGCTGCCTGGCTGTACTGGATCATGGATTAGTGCCAAAGTGTGTTCTGGTAAAAGTAAAGCAGGACTTGGAAATAAGTCTAGCTGAACTGAAAACATGGGAAATTAACTGCTTTAATTAAAAAGCATTTCATGTTCTGAGAAACCATTAGTATGACTTCTAAAATACCCCTGTCTTGGATATATTGATATTTTGCCTAGGCTCGTGTATTTGTGTATATGCACATGTGTATGTGTCATTTTAATTTTTGTCTTGTTCTGCTGAGGTTTTATAGTGTTTTGTTGGTAAAGCCAAATGTGTGTGTGTGGCATCTGCTGATCCCATCTACATAAGACAAGCCCCATTATCATTCTTTTTATACAACATTTTTACATGTCTCTTGTCATTGGCATACAGACATGTTGAACTTTGAGTAAAAAAAGTTGGTTATTTAAAAATCCAGCACTAATTTTGGCATGAATGGTTGCCTCTACAGGAGAGTTTGACACAGTGCAGAGCCCCTCCACGCCAATCAAAGATCTTGATGAGAGAACATGTAGGAGTTCTGGGTCAAAGTCTCGGGGTAGAGGGCGGAAGAATAATCCATCACCCCCTCCGGACAGTGACTTGGAGGTATGTCTGTGGTAACTGATGAATGTTAATGTGGAAGTTTCTTCTGATGAAGTGTAAATTCTGAATACTGCAGCTGTGAAAATAGCTTAAAGCATTTTAAAGACATTATGGACTCAGTCTTGCTAACTGAATGTAACAGAGAGTAGTAGCTGCTTTAATCTGCATGCACAGTGAGACTTTACTGTTCTGCATTACATATCTGTCACTTTCTTGTGCAATAGAACCACAAGCCTGTACTCAAAAGTATCACATTTTCTTTTAGTTTCTGAAACAGGAAATCTCAACTGTATCTCTCCGCTTAATTACATGTATTTATGGATGCAATGGAAATAGCCAGGATCGCCTGGCCATAGCCTTTGAAATATTTAGGCACCAGTTTGTGCTTGTGTTTGTAAGTTCTATCAGCAGATCTCAGTGAGGCAGCTTACCTCAGTGAAGTCATGGCGGTGCCTTGCAGTGGCAGGAACAGCAGGAGGAAGCAGAGTGCCTGTGTGTGTGTGTGTGTGTGTGTGACACTCCAGCTGTGGCACCAGGGACACCAGGCTGTGCTGCCTGCCAGGGCTCTGTGTCCCCTGCTGCCACCAGAGCAGCCCTGGCCGGCCCCACTGCCCTGCCCTCACTCACCAGCCCTGCATACAGCACAAGACAAAATTGTTGCTGGGACTTGGCTGACCAAGGGCCTCTCCTGGGGTAGCAGGGTGGGCTGCAGGGCTGGGAACTGAGTGTAAATGCCGTTGCTTTTCTACAGAAACTTACTTTGTTTTTTTGGTTTTTTTTTGCTCTTCAAAGGATTTAATTTTTCCAGTGAAAACACTAACTTCTTACATTTCAGGGTTTCTTTTGGTTGGTTGGGCTTTTTTCTTCATTATTTTTACCAGTGAGAATCAAAAGAAAGCAAAATTGTATGAATGAAACTGAGTTAAAATAATCTGGTTTATCCTTCAGTATTATTTAAATTCTATATGGCAGTGGCAAATAGCACTTTTACCCAAGATTTTAGTTACACAGTAGAAATAAGAAGAATCTTGAATCAGTAAGACTTGCAGAGAAATATCTGAAAGCTCTGTTTATCCATAGCAATTATGTTTGACCCCCAATCACATTTCTGAAATCTGTATTACAGAGCTTTTGTGAAAAGCTTTTTAGAGAACAAATAAGACATAGTTGAAGAGTTAAAAAGTTACTGCCTTTTGACTTTTTACAATGCATGATACACTGTTATTGCTGATTTTCAGAGACAAGCTGCTCAGTTAATAAGTACTTGGTTAAACTTCTAGACTCAGTTGACTTTTAGTCTCCCTGGGTGGTGTGGTGGTGGGACTGTGAAGTTATTTGTTCAATAATATTTTCCTCTATTCTGCTTTCAGCGTGTATTTGTTTGGGATTTGGATGAAACAATCATAGTTTTTCATTCGCTGCTTACAGGATCCTATGCACAGAAGTATGGCAAGGTATGTGAGCTGTGAATTTTGTGGCAATTCACTGCAGCTATCTGGCCTGACTATGTACATGTTTTTCACCTCTGTGTTCTTTATGGGTGAAGTTAGAGGCAAAGTGTACAGTAAACCCCATTTTCAGAGGGTTAATGTGAAGAAGTCTAGGAGAGGAATGAGACACAACCCCTAAGTGCAATACATGAGGCAGGGCTGAAGCAGATGCTGCAAATAAGAGGAGAATTTATAGAGGAACAAAGATGAGGTTCCTGACATGTGTTGGAAGAGACATTGCAGGGAGATAATAGATGAAGTGCATAAATGGGAAAAACTGACAATATCTGGAACAGTAGAGGAAGAAAGAATAAACTGGGCTGGTGGGTGAATTTACCAGGAAATTTATGAATAGGATGAGTAAGAGTCTGACTTATTTCAATGCCAGCTGCAGGTGTTGTTCTTTGACTCCCCACCTTTTTCACTGAATTTTTGGTTCCCTTGGCTGCTTCTGGGGTGAGTAATGCTGGGGAGTGAAACCCTCTCCCAGGTAGTTTTAAGCATCCTCTCCCCTCCAATGAGTCCAAAAGGAGTTCATGTCACAGAGCAGTGAGTGGGAGAGCAGGAAGAGGAGTGAGGGAGGCGAGGAGAGGCAGTGGCAGATTGCAGGAGCTCTGGAGCTGGTGCTGGGAGTCCAGGGAATGGCTGCTTGGACAAGGTGAGAAGGGTCTGGTGTGTAGCAACAGGAGCAGACTAATGGGAGAGGTAGAGCTAAGGGCCTGGATAAAACAAAAAAAAATTTTAAAAAAATGTGGAAGGAGGAATGGACAGAAGGGATGTCAATATGTACATATATTGTTTTCTCTGTGCTGTGCTGTTCAAATGAAATTAATGCAAAGGTATTTCTTTTGAAGAACAAAATCATGTTGTCTCAGATGTGGGGCTTGTTTAGCATGTTTTCAGCATCTTTATTCCATCCAGAATCAGATGTTTGAGAAAAGAATGTGAGAAACTACATTACAGAAAGGCTTTTCACAACCCCCTCCCCTACCAGTGGGTTAGAAACGTCCAAAGCCAGAACCTGTTCATTGTAACCAGAGAGGGGCCAGTCTTCCATGCAATCAACCTTTTTTTGGTTATTAAAAAAGAAAGTTAAGAGGAAAAGCCACAGGCCAAGTGCAAAATCTGAATTTCTGGAATGCAAAGATAATGATAGGTACTCATGTCTTATAAAAGTCAGCCTTCCTTGCTTTGCAGCTTCCCAGTGCCAGATCTGTGCACTTTTCAGTACTCTGTCAAAAAATCCTCTTCTGCTCTTTTTCAGACATTGTAACAACAGTGACTTTGTCAGAACCATTTCCAATTAGTAGTTATCAGAACAAGAGAGAAACCTAGCTGAACATGAACTTTTGTATCACTTTGAGAGTAGCCCATAGACTACCACAGGACTTGCTAAATTGTCACAGTGATAAAGTTTTTTTCAGATAAAGTTATTCCTTTCAGTCTTTTTTGATTGTGCCCTTTGGATGTTTCTGTAATCAACTGTAACACATAGTTTTAAAAATCAGAGCACATTTTGTAGTTCACAAAACATCTGTGGATAACTTTGAAAACTGTCTTGGAAACAGCAACAGAAATGTAATTTCTCTGGGTAAATTAGTAATGGCATATTAACAGATAGTAGTACTGACAGCAGATAAAGTCTTATATAAACCAAAAGTGTCTCAAGGCTTAGTGAAATTAATGTAGTTATACTGCTGAGATCAACATCAGTAAACAAATGTCAAATGCCATGGAAGGCAATGAAGCAAAGCGTGCAGAATTACAGAATTCTTAAGTAAAATCCTCTTTTTCTTTTTTCTCTCTTTCTCTTTTTTTCTTTTTTCTGATACTGATAGGTGACATCCACTCAAGTAGGCCATTTCCAGACCCTATAAAATGAAAATAGTAGACTTTTTCCTTCCTGCAGTGACTGCCATTGCCATATTTACATAGAACTTGTGTGATGAGTTATTACCAGTGCAAGTCAAATATAAATATTGTTGACTGCAAGGGAGCTAGAGCAGTAGGAAAGGGAATACAGGAAGAGCTTATAATGGATAGGCTTTAGCTTTTGCATGTCCTTGTAGAGTTGCCTAAATTTAAGGTGGGATGTGTCTCAGCCTAAGTGCCTAAGAGGTTAGAAATGGGAGAAGTGAAAGATTCCACAGACCACTAAGCTCTGGTACATGACATTTTTAGTACACATGGTCCTTATCTTTTCTGCATATGATTTCCATCTGTATACAAGGTCTTAATCCAGACTGAAGATTGGATTGTTATGATAATTGGGTTGCTGTAGAGTAAATGCTCCAAGAATTGTGAGGTTATCAGCAGAAGTCTTGTTATCACATAAGTCTTTCGAAATTTTTTAGAGAACTGTTTATCTTGAAAAGGTGGTATAAAATTGCTGCCTAACAATGAACAAAGAAACAGGGTAGTGTAAGACAGTGAAGATAGTAAATTATTTAATTGTGATGATTTGCTGTCTGATTTTAAAAAGTAAAGGCATCTAAAGTCACACAGATGCTCAGCTGTGAATAGCATTTTCTTCCACATATATTTCATAAGCCCATTTTGTGTAAAATAGTCAAGGTACTCACGAAAAAGAGAAACTACACCAAAAAAACCTGGCAGGACAAGCTGAATTTTCCCCTTCTCCCATTTTTAATTTTTTACATGAGAATAATGTGTCGTTAAAGCAAACATTGCTTTAAGGAAAGGCAACTTCTTATACCAAGTGTTCCACGTCATCCTTGGAAGGAGTGAGATGCTGAGTTTAGAGCTAGTGGGAATATACAAACAGGCAAGGATATTTGCCTTCAGTTCTTTCTCATGTACTCATTGACGTAAAAACTTTCATTCTTTGTTTTCACCAAATTATTCCTGGTTTTTTGAGTACTGGGTGAAAAAAAATCGGGAATTAGTCTTTTAATCTCTCTGTTTTGCTGCAGTTCAGGGTGCACAGGGATGCAGTGAGAGGAGATGCAGCGTATTATGGCCCGGCATAGGGATCCACATGTGAGTGCAGGAGCACTTGAGAGCTGCAGTTGTGTCTGGAAATAAACACTTTCAAAAGATTTCTACAGTTTAACTAGTGGTTGGAGTAGAAGAGAAAAAGGAAAGGCAAACCAGCATCTCCTTAGGCAAGGAGGGCTTTCATTGGCAGAGATTATTTGGAAGGCCTGGATCCAGTAGGCAAGTTTCAGGTTGTGTATTTGTCAAGAGAATAGCAGATTTCTGACTTACGCCTAAGGATTTATGAAGCTGAGAATGGACACTCTACGTGGTATATACTTGTTCAGCACTTTGCATGGAATGATGTCAGAAATTTCTAGGAAAATTATTTGATGTCAAAATTTTATAATAACCATGCTAAAACAGAATTAGTGATTTGCCGAAGGATGCTACTGTAAGCATCTCTTTAAAAATGGGACAAATTGCTGCTGCTTATCTGGGTGCCAGTAGAGTATAGCTTTAAACTCAACTGAACTGGGAGAGATTTGTCCAGAATTTGGCCAGAGTATCACTTCTGCATTTAAAATATAGAGCTTTCCCAGGAGAATATTCCATGCCTTGCTGTTGTCTACCTGTGGCTGTTTCTCTCTGGCTTTTGGTATATTGGTTATTCTACTGGGCTAACATAGAAAGAGAATAAAAACTACACTACAGCTGTGTTAGGTTTCAGGAAAGCTGTGCTGCCTTCCAGCAGTAAGATCACCTCTCACTTTTCCACTCATTTGCTCATCTGCATTGTACTTCATTAAACCAGTACACTTCTATTTTTAATTACTTACTGCAGTAGCAAATTGTGAACATTGGCATTGGAGCTGTTACATTATGACTTGTGTGGTTGGATGATGGTTTTTGCAGCTGAGCACCAGTTGACAGATAAGGTTTTCTACAATGCTGAGCTCTTAAGTGAGCATTTATGGATGTGACAGGACATCTGTTAGGAGATGTCATCATCTCTTAAAAGTTTATGAGGTACATTCTTATTCCCTGTGAACAGTGTGTATTCTTTCTTCCATCGCATTCCAGTTATTCTTGATGATTGAAGGATGATTAAGCTGGACTTTTTCTAGCTCCAAGCATTTATATTTTATTCATTTCTCCCAGGTCAATCCAGAGAGCTAGGATTCCCAGATTAATGCTGTGACTCAAAGTGCTGCTGTTTAGAAGAAGAATAAAATTCCTTTGTGAGCTTAGAAGATGGAGAATGTGATATCCAAGTGCAAAAATCAAAACAATTCCACACTTGATGATCATATTTGGCCATTTTTTTGTAACATTGCAAATGACAGAAAGTTGTCAGGGAAGCCTCATGAACCTTGTGCACTTCTCTGGAAAGGGCTCAGAAGCTTTTTACTGCTCACTGTCTGCTTGTCTGCTCATTAAACACAAAAGCTTTGTCACCATTAACATCCATAATGGCATTCCCAAATTCACTCCTAAATATTATCTTGTCCACTTGTATTAATAGTGTATCTCTCATCACCTCCAGTTATCCTCTCCATTCACTCCCTCCTTGTCTGAGACCTCTGAGTCGATTTTCCTACTGCCTTCTAGAGAGAATGGAACAGAAACTCCCTATGGAGTACGTGAGTTTTCCTTCATCAGCCACCAGCTACGCTTACCGAGAAGAGATGTGTTCTCTTCCTCCATCACCACCCACATGAATTTCTCCTGGGACAAGTGTCCCCTATGAGAGAGTGAGGGCTGAACTTAGATCTAAGAACCTACATAACATAGAGAAGTCCCTTTAAGCTAAAATATTGGTACTTAATGCTAGCGTTTCTGCTTTTTCCCAAGGTCAATTTTGTTTTAAGTCTGTGCAGGACAGCCATCCATCGAAAATAACTTCTTAAAATTTTGCTTGTTTTCTTGCTTATTTTTAAGGCTTCATGCATGCAAATTCCTGTCACAATGAATCTGCCTAGCAGTCTGTTTACCTCTTCATTTTCCAAGGTTTTATTAAAGTCACTTTGGTGTTTGCAGATTTTTTCCTAAGAAATGAAATTATTTTAAACATGTGCTGAAGCCTGACATTCCAAAACAGTATTAAATACATCTCTTCCACTAATGGACACTGAGCTTTTGGGGCTTTATTCCAGTTACTCTCCACTTGATCAAAACATTTAAGTATTGGTCCTCCCAGGATATTTTTATCTAGTCTCCCAGGAGGCATTCCAATGGATGGACCAGTCTGGTACAGAAGGCCACAGACAGACAGTCTGGCTCCAGTTTAGTGCCTTCATCTTAACATAACTAAAGTAATTTGTATTTAGGTGTACAAAAGTTTTGTAGCTGTTCTTGACTCTTCTGCACACTAATGATATCTGGCTAACATCATACCTCTGCAGGCCAAAGAGTTGTTCTTTGTTCTGTGAATTACCTGGGGAAAACTTCCTGATTTTTTATTAATCTTTTTTTCCTCTATTGTGTGTGCTTGCGCAGAGTAGCACAAAATACAATTTTGACGGAAATTCAGTCTGCCTGTTACTAAGTTTTTCAGTTTGCTGTGCTAAGTTCTGTACCAACTGCAAGTTTCTTGCTTTCTTTTCCACACACAGTCCTTTGTGCCACTTGAATCAGTCTGTAACTTCTGCTTCAGGCTGAAAGACAGTAAAATGGTGATTGTCATGTTCCTCCGTATTGTGCAAACTCTATAAAGCCACACAACCCTTAAAAATCTGCTTTCTTGTCTGTTTTTTCATGTGAAGGAAAAAACTTAACCTGGCAAGAGCTGGATAGAACATAATTTTTAATTCTTGTTAAACAGTTGCAGTGCAAAATTTTGGCCAATTTATTAAGGGAAGAATTGTTCATATCTTGAGAATTCAATTCCAGCAATTCTCCCTAGCAGAAGTTGTACAGGGAGATCCCAGAGTGATTTTATGCTAAGCTGAAATGAATTCCCTCTGCTTTGCTTTATTTTATTTTACATACCATACCTAGCAATAGCCTTCTCATGCCTTTGTCAAAACAGGAATGTAGGAAATATAATTTTAATAGTAATAGTCAGGCATAACTGGTTACAAAAGTACTATTAATAAGAAAACCATAAGAGCTTTGTCACATTTACATTTTTCAACTATACCAGGCAAGGCAGGAAATTGCCATATATAGTTGGTAGTTTCTGTAAAAACAAATCGAATTATAATGGAAAACGTTATAGGAAATTTCTGCATTCAAGTCTGCTTCTGCCCAGGAAGGGGTAAAAAAGAGGCTGAGAATTAAATGTCTGAGATTCCAGCTTTGGAAGCACTCCAGTGAATAATTTATATAAATAATAATGAGTTTCCACCTGTGCATAAAATTCTGCACATACTTCAGTGTTCGTGGGATTGAAGTAAAAAAGTGTATTGCAAATACTCTCTGTTATATTGTATCTAGAGAGAAAAGATTTCTATTTACAAAGCACAGAAAATGCAAATGAAAGAGACAAACACGTGTTTATATGTGATGACATTTTGATAACAGTGTTATGGCTTGATGAGGAATCTCGTGAGTCCTGAGCATTTTAGTGATTTGTGTTGTCAGTGCCTAATATGAGTTTTGCTAATCTGTTAATGGTGTTCCTTAATCATCCTCTTGGAAATCTGACCTTCACACTTGGTGCTGCCTTCAGCCATGTGACTTTCAAATCCATTTATCATTACTACAGAAGACAGAATGGATAAACTTCTGTTCCTGCATTTGTTTTTGGCTTCTGAAAGGTACTCTAGATCCATTCAAGGGTCTACATAAAGATATTTCCTTTCACTGACAGAGAATTGGGTATAACTTTGGATCATTACAACTTCTTGAACACTATTCTCTCTTTCAAGTATGCCTTTTCCATGAGCAAGAGTCAAAGTATGTCAGTGTTTCAGATTTTACCGTTAATTATTAAGTGCTTGAATGCAGAAGCCATCTTTTATTCCGTCATTGCAAAGCCCTGGAGTAGTGAGTGTCTGATCCTGGCTGGGAAGTCTTTCATCCTAATGCTAACAAATTATCATTTGAGGTTTTGTGAGATTTTGTTGCTACATGCTGGTAAATATTTAGACTTTAAATCTCAAAGTATTTAAGAAGGGATTCTGAAAATTTGCTCATGTCAGTCAGGGAGTAAATGATGAAATATTTTTATCATATTTTGATGAGAAGAGGACCGCATATGTTTTAGAAGTCCACTGCAATTGTGTTAAGCATGAAAAAGCTAACGGCACCCCACAAGCTCAGGCAGATGATTAGGGCAACAATCAAACTAATTATTAGGTGTCAGCAAAGCACCAGGGACCGTTGCCCTAAACCAACTGTAAGGTAACACAAATCTGCTTTACCTCTCTCCTAGCAAACCCAGAAAATTTGAATTCATTACCTTGCCTTAGCTGTATGCTTAATGCTCTCAGACAGTGTTATTGCAGATCAGGAGATTTGTGGTGTCTTGCTGAGGCAGAGCAATTTGAGAGTGTGAAAGACAACCTACAAACAAATGCAACATTCTGAATTAATCTTATCCAGGGACAGTATTCCTGTGTTTCACCAGCAATGAAGGGATCTCTAGCAAACAACAAACTTATATATGCTTTTCACAGAAAAATATGTTCCTGAATACATCTGTTATGAAAAGTGCCATCCCTATTTCCAGTCTTCTTTATACTTGTTTATGTTTATATTTATGTGTACGTTTATGGCCACCAGATGTTTTTCTGTCAGTTCAGCCAGTTTGCAAATTGCTCAGCTTTAAAAAATTTGATTTTTCAACATCCACAACTCTCTGGATTTTCTCACAAACAGAGGTTCAGCAGTGTCTTATTGCAGCATTATATTAAAATAGCTTATTACTGAAAGGATTTCAGGGAAATTTCTAACAGTGTTAATTTTTCAAAACACTTTATGTACATAATTTTTTTTAAGTAATTCTTATATAACTTAGAAGTATATAATAGCTAATCTTGTTTTTTGTTTTTTAAGGATCCACCCATGGCAGTGACCCTTGGACTACGAATGGAAGAAATGATTTTTAATCTTGCTGACACACATTTATTTTTTAATGACTTAGAGGTAAGAATCAAAGGAATGCTAGCACCAGTATTCCTGATTTTTAACTTAGTGGCTTTGTTGTGCATTAGTGTTTATTGCGTGTGACATTTCTGCCTGTGTAGTTTTTGGGTTTGTCTAATCAGAGAGAGGTTATCCAGTGGCACTGACTTCCAGTGTCACCAGAGTCCTTCTCTGAAACTCAATGAGAGAGAGAATCTGCAAACTACCTATTCCTTTCTTTGTCCATCTTTTTTGGTTTCCATGTGTGTAAAGCTGTCTGCTGTCATCTCCAGGATGGTAACATGTATGCCTCACGTTCTTCTCTTGAAGTTCTCCGTATTCATTTGCTTTCAATGGGTGCCCTCATCTGACCAGAAGAGATGTTCTTCTCTTGAGCAGCCTTTTGGCTACATGCCTGTGTTACTTGTTGAAATGTAGAATATTCTTCATTTACCTCAAAGAAAGCAGCATCAGAGAGCTGGGACTGTGATAGATGTTCTGATCAGTGATTTCTCTTCCCAAGGTAACCAGGCAATCAATGTATTGTCACAATATACCCAGGAAATATAATTTGGCAATTGGTCAGAAAAGGGAGAGACCTCTTCCTAGGAAGTGCCCTCTGACAGGTGGGCAGCTCACCTGTCAAAGGACATGGATGGACTCTCACAGGGACAATGGTCTGGGAGCAGGCTTGTAGCTGAGCTTCACAGGCTTCTTATTTCACTCTTAAGAACCCAGATCTATTAACATAGACAGTGACAGCCTACAACCATGTGTGTCAAGACACAGGGTGAAAAACAGTTTTCAAATTAACCCAGGGATTTTTCAGACCTTCTGCTGGTCTAAAATGGTTGTTTTCTTACTGAGAGTAGATCCCAGACTTCCTTCCATAGACAGATACTTGCCATGAATGGGAGCTGGAAGACTTCAAGGTTTTATTTTGAATCCTAGAGAAAGGTTTCTGGTGACTGAATAGACAAAATAAAGATAAGTGAAATTTTTCCATCCACTGAGTTGTTAATTTTGTCTTTTGTCCCTTCATCAAGTAGGTAGTAAGAAAAGCAGAAGGTGCCAGTTTGTGGTTGTCTTCATCATCCCCTGCAGATCTCATTTATTCTTAGCTCTTTTTAAGTCAAGAAACTGGAATCTACTTCACTCCACACCTGACCTGTATTTCCTCCTTCCAGCAGCAGAAACCAAAGCAAGTAAAGCCCTGGACATGCCTTCCTCAGTGTGTGCTTCATTGCAGTTCTAGAGAGGCATCTCTTGACAATGCAAGTACATTCAGTGAATGTCTCCTTCTGGTGCCCTGTACCAGGGAGAGATTCCAAATGAATTTTTCAAAGCATTTCTTAAATTTCTTTTTAGCAGACCTTTGCCCCTGCATGTTCAGAGTTTATGTGGCATGAACGAAATTAAAGCCATTCTGTAGAATCTGTTCTTCAATGTTGTGCTGAGTTCAAGTGGAAGAGTTCAGCAAAATGGAGCTTTGCCCTCCTTCCATACTTCTTTATTCTTACTTATGGCCACTGAAACTTCATTCCTTTCTCTCATTATTTATTTTGTCTGTAGATTCATAAGTTCAGCTGTCATAGGCGGATCATTACATTTTGGCTAATCTTCATAGGATGGTTTTAATACCCCTGTCCAAAAACTCATATGCCAGCTCATTCCAGAGCTTGAACAGTTCCCAGCTTTAGATGAATTAAAAAAATAGTACTTGGGAACTGTCTCAGAGAGTCTCGTAAATCAATCAGTTTGATTTGATTAAAAGCAATTTATATATATATTTAATAATCTCAATTTCTACAAGAAATTTTGTACTTTATGGCTCAGAATTCATCTTGGCCTCAAAACCAACTCTCTTACAAAATTACCAAAATTCCAAAGTTCATGTGCTGAAATGAGTTTAATGCATACATTTCTCTGTGTGTGAGAAGACCAGGAATTTTCTATCTTCTTAGCAAAAAGGGTAAAATGCCCAAGCACGTAGAGGCAGCCTTTATTATGCTGATGGATAAACCTGTCTGTTTAAATCTGTTTGCAGAGCACATGGCCATTACTGAATATTAAAGTGCATCTGTATGATGAATGTGTAATGAATTCTGAGAATTCCCAGAGTCTGACTTGGTTCTCTCCCTCATCTCCCCTCCTCTCCCCATCTCTCTTTCTCTGTCTTCCTCTCTCTGTCCTCCCCCAGGGGAGCAGAAGTGAGTGCTGAGCTGCTGGTGATCATGGCCATCAAGACACGAGACCTTCAGTTCTCACTGGAGGGAACGAGACAGGCCTTTATTTGCTAGGCAGACAGATTGCTTATCCGTTCATCTTGTCACTTTTTCAGTGGTGAGCCCTCAGGTCCCACGCCTTCTGTCTTGCTTTCATCTTCAGCCCACAGTAAACCTCGTGGCTCTGGACATGACAACTGTGAAGTGCTACTGAACCTGTGTACCTGTAATATTTACTCCAGTCCCTACATCTCTAAACTTTCTTTTTTTCCTGTCTTTCTTGCTTACAAACACTGCATAGCAGGTTCTAGGAATAATAATCAAGTTATTGAAGTTATCACATACAAAAAGAAAGTTTTCCTTCCTCTATGCAAATCCGTGTCGCTGCAGCGACTGCTGATGCAGGAATTCCGATCTGCTGAGACACTCCCTGCTGACCCAGTAACCCATGCTCTAATCAGCCAAGCTGCACTTTTATTTCAGGCTAGGCTCTTCTCCAGCTACTGCATTCTCAGGGTATAAATTTTAGTTAGCTTGAGAAGTTTCACTCGGGAGGGCAGTTGGTGTTTTGCCATGAAAATAGGAGTCTGGTGTCCCAGAAAGTTCATGTGCTTAAACAACACTTAGGGATGGGACTCAGATTTATAATAATGGCCAAACTAAGGCATTCTCTTTTCAGCCAGGTAAGGAATAAAATTGAGGTTTTCTTCATATCTCAGTATTAATTCTAAGACAGCATTTAGAAATGTATAATAGGTAAATATATAATATGTAAGGCCTATTATGCACAGCAAAAAACCAATTTCTCTAAATTGCGAGTAGTAATTCAGACATGAATCTTCCAATTATTCCTCTCCACTCTCAGGTCAATACTCTTGAATGGAAAGAGTATTAATTTCAAACAAACTGAATTATATTTCAATTTTTATCATTATCCTATCATATTTTAAAGGAGATTTTGTCCTTTTTTTCTCACTAGAAACAGAAATTAGAAATTAAAAGTAAGATTTTGGTAAGTCTCAGAATTTGGGAGGCAGGTAAGACTAGTTTTAAGAGAGACTGAAGCATATATATTAAAAGGGCTTTTCAGTATAGCCTAAGAAAGCATAGTGCAGTTTTGTGTTCAGCCTGGTAAGTCAGTGCTTTTACTGGATAGTGAAATAATTGTCTGGTCCAAGATGATAAGTTTTATGGATGATGTATTTATTCTTTACTCTTAAATTTTCATGCTCTAAAAATTGCTGCAAAGAATTGGCTGCATTTAGATATAATTTTAATTAGTATTGCTTCAAACAAAAGCTAGATACTATACTTAGATTTCTTTCCTGCATTTGCTCTAACAGGAAATGTATTTTTCTGTTTCTTAGTTCTGACATTGCACTGACAGCCACTGTGACTTGAGCTTAACCAGTACTGTAGCTGATGTGAAAATTATTTTACCTTAATATTTAAGTTGACAAAGAGCTTGCTTTCTTTCCCATAACTCTTTAGTGTCATTTAAAGGCAAACTCAAATGTAGTGCTGTGCCACCAGTTTCCTGTTTCTTTTGAGAAAAGTAGAGAACTGTCTCAAATCTGCTCAAACGATTGGCTTTTTTTTGTTTTAATAGCAAGATTTTTCCACACAATGTAAGTGAATTTGTAAAAGGTAAACGTTTTAGTTGAAGTAGATAAGTAAACAAGAAAACAAAGTAAAAAAAAAAACAAGAGTGATGGGCACATGAGCTTGTTTGATGGTCAGAAAATGCGTATTGTCAGCGTGTACAGAGGAGATGACCCGTAGATCCAGAGAAGAAAAGGAAGAGGGATAAAGAGGAAGTTGGAAAGTGCTGCTGGGTTTGATCTTCTATATAACTTTTATGTTAACTCCTATATTAACAACCTTCTTGCAGGGACAAGGGGATGAGTAATCAGAAAACTGCATGGTCCCCTTATCCTGTTTCTGGAGTCAGTCACAGAACCACAATGAACCAACTGTGAGACAAAAGAAACTTAAACAGCTGAGCCTTTGCTGCCCACTCATATTTAACTTAATAATGAAATTATCAGCAGAACATTTACCTAGAATTTTCAAGGCTGGAACAATGTAGCTGAAAGGCTTAACAAAACCCAAACATCAGCAGACACTCCTTATCCATCAAGGCTTTTGTATGCCTTTCATTTAATTAGTATACCTTCATATCCACAAGATTTTAAACTTTTAAACTTAATACTTTTACGAGTTCCAGGGAAATATGTGAAGATGATTAGGAAGCCAGATATTGCCCAGATGTTGCAAAATACAGAGTCAGAATTTTTCTCATAGGCTTTTTTTCTGATTTTTGAGGTCCTATCCTACACTGGGTGAAGCATAGTTCCATTTTTTTTCTGGAGTGTAAATGATGAATAAAGATAAAGAAATTAATCTTTTATTTCAGCTGCCACATTCCCTTTACTTTCTCTCTTCATCTGCTATTTACATCCAAAAATAGCTTCTTAAAAATATTCTACAGCTCAAGATAATCTCCTCACACTGACCTAAAACAATTTATTTCTCCAGTGAGGGAAAGAATGCTTCATTCCTGTTCCTTGAACGCAGCTCTATTATCCTATCTTAATGGAATAAGCCACATAAGGAGAGCTTGGTAACTCTTTCTTTTAGCTTTAGCCCAATATTTTAGATTATGATTGCTTGTATGATGCAATGAAATTATGTATTTGAAAATTAAATTATAGATATTTGTTTTATACATAATTGCCTCTTGAAACAGCCTAGTTCCTGCGAGTAGAAGTCTCTTAAGCTTTTGCTCATTGCAAAGCAAACAAAGTAGAAAGATGAAATGATAATTCCCTAAATTCACACTCTAGGAACTTGTGTCTTACACATTTGGAAATCATTCCTCTGTTCAGATTTATTCTTTATCTGTACAATTTACCACTGTAACAAGGCAAAGACTGGAAACCTAGAAGGACATACCCCTGCATGTCACAGAGAGCCTGAATTAAGGGCTGACTTAAATGGACACTGAATTTCAGGTGTGTCTTTGGGTCAAGATGTTAGTTCCAGCAACTATTGAAAGCAATTATATAATACATGATAGCTTAGCTTATATATGTACTTTTTTTATCACCACAATTTCTTATCTTTGTGCTCTAACCACTGTGCAGATAAGGAGATTTGATAGCTGCCCAATTATGAGGCCGTCTTGGAGGGGAATTCATATTTCCAATGTCCCTCAGTTCCCTCAAATTCCTTCCATCCCTTCCAAAGCCATGAAATAATCAAGTTCTGTAGGATTGCTGATTATATGTGATTTTCCAGCCAAAGGCACTCACATAAATTAAAACAAGAACCTGATAAGTGTCCAAACTACTTAACATAAGTTTTACTCCTGTTGAGGTTCACCATCAATTGCTTTAAAGGAGTGGGAGAATAAGGTTTATATGATTTTCAAGTATTGGTATACTAGGAAGGCTGTAAATGAGACTTACAATTCTGGTGGCTTTACAATTAAGAAAATTTTACTCCTAAAAATCACCTCAAAATTGCATATTGTTTTTTTTAAAGGTCTGTTTAGTGATTCTCACTGTGTAGAAGTTGAAGTTTACTCTTTTAGAGATGTTGATGGCAGTAGGAAACTGTGGGTGTGCACAGGCTGCCACCTCCTGGTGCAGCCAGTGGCCTGCGCTGCTCGTTTCTTCTGTACTAAGCCTCCGGTGAGCAGAGTGGCTCGGGCTGGAAAATACGTCTAATATCCCCTCGTCCAACCATTAGCCCAGCCCACTGTGCTCGCCACTAAACCGTGTCCCCAAGTGCCACATCCACACAACTTTTAGACCTTTCCAGGAAGGGTGATTGCACTCTCTCTTAAGATGGATTTGTCATTTGGGTTTGCTTTCTTTCTAACAGGAATGCGATCAAGTTCATATAGATGATGTTTCTTCAGATGATAATGGACAAGACCTAAGGTAAGATACAGAAATATTTTTTTATTTTTTTTTTTAAAGATGAAATAATTTGAGCATTTACAGGAATACATTGTATTTATTTTTACTGTATTTTGGGTGTTTGCAGTACCTACAGTTTTGCAACTGATGGCTTCCATGCAGCTGCAAGTAGTGCAAACCTTTGTCTGCCAACAGGTGTAAGAGGAGGGGTTGACTGGATGAGGAAGCTGGCTTTCCGTTACAGAAGAGTAAAAGAGTTGTATAATACTTACAAGAACAACATAGGAGGTGAGTTCAATTAGCAAAACCAGCTTTGAATGCTGATCAGTCTAAGCTGCATGGTGATGAGCTGCACCCAGGGAAGGAGCCTGGGGGAAGCCACAGAGGGAATGGAGAGTGATATGACTGAACCAATGGCTGTTGAAAGCTACTGACTGTAAAGGCAAAGCCACATGCTGTTCTGCAGGGCAAATGCAGTTGGGGAAACAAGCAAGCTCCCAATTAGCTTCCACAGAGCCCATTTTCCTCCCTCAGAGCCAGCTGATTTGTTGAACCACTTAGACTACTTAAGATTTGCTGTAGTTCTAAGAAAGATATTGTATAGTTTCACAGCACGAATTGTTTGTGGATGGCCATTTCCATCCTACATTTTCATGATCTGGTTGGTAACAACACTGTCACCTAAACTTTCTGCTGGGTACCTGCTAGTCTGTTTTCACCAGTGGATGCAAGAAAATTCTCTCACTGCCATGCCAATAGCCCCTTTTGTTGACTCTGGAGCTTACACAATTTTGTCTCCAATCAGTCCAAATCTCATTTGGGACAAGAACTTTGCTGTTACTGTTTTAATTCATGGACTCACATATGTCTGCACCAGTAAATTGTAGGCAATCAGACAGCAGAGCCAAAAGAATCTGTCCTGGATAGTCCTGTGTGCCTTGCAGAGACAGCCAGCCTTCTTCTGAGGAGGGAAATGTGCCAGCTGACCCCCTCAACAATAGACAGTGGGAACAGAGAACACTTAAAAGTCTTCAATAATTGCTACAGTCACGTATTTTCACTCTCAGAAGTTCAGTCTTTCCTCACCACAGGGTGAAGCAATAGGACCAAAGTGTGGTAGTAGAGGGCTGACTTTCACTTGCCCTACTTTGCCTTTCACTGGTTTTGTGAATAGAGTTGTTATATATTAATAATTCTTGAAACAGTGTTAACCAAAAGTTTACTGGGTTTTCTTGCATCTCCTGATGCATCTAAGATTCTGAAGCTGCTGCATTTCATAAAACCTTTAACAGTGATTAGAGAACAAGTCCAAGAGCATAGCACAGGGAAACACACTGAGAGGAACAAAACATTGCAAATATAGTGCAGAAATGTGGTGCACTGGATTAAGGTTTTTATTGTCTCCCACATATCCTGCATCTGAAATATAAGCCATTCTTAATGGGCAGGTTTCTTCAGTCGTCCTCCACATCTTAGCCTTTTTTATGATTTTTGTAGCTTATCTGTATTTGTTTATTTCAAAAGAGCTGCTAGAAATTATCAGAAGGCAAGATCAATCCATATATTTTTAGATTATTTCACTTCTGATTTTTGAAGACAGTCATCATCACTTGCAGGATGTGAAAGAGAAGAGGGATACTAAAGTTCAGGAAGCCTATTTCCCTGCTCTTCCAAATCTACATTTAAAATATGTTGGTTCCAGCAAATTCATGTCTCAACATTCAATAGGCTGGGTATTTTTAAGTGTCTGACAATTTATACCCAAAAAGAGGTTTTTGAGGACTATCTTTTAAGGACCAAGAGAATGAGATATGAGAACATAAGATGTGCAGCCATTTCAGGCTCTAAATGCTGTAAAAGGAACCAATTACAACAGGACAGAAAGAGCATGCCATCGGTAAACTAATGTATTTTTGTATGTGTACTATCTGCAGAGTCATAAGTAGGGCAGTTTTAAACAGTTTATTCTAAAGTATCTTCTTTTGTGACCATCTTCACCTGTGATCCCAATGACATGGATCTCCTTGTCACTGCCTCTGATAATTTCAGAATAAGGTATGTGGGAGGAGCTGGTTTAAAAATATGTTTCTGAGAGAAATACTTTGAAATGCAGCCTGATAGATAAAGAAATGCAACTAATCTTTATTATTATCTGAAATACTATTTGATATTCCTTGATATAGTGAAGTACAAATAAAATCTATGATTTCCTGATCATTGAAGACAATAGATTTTCTCTGTGATATTTTTTTCAAGTCATAGTGGAATTTAAAATAGAAACAATGACCATAAACCCTATCTGATACAGAATTTAATTCTATTTTTCTCACTTCTCTTACATTAAAGGACTCCTGGGTCCCGCTAAAAGAGATGCATGGTTGCAATTAAGAGCAGAGATTGAAGCTCTGACGGATTCCTGGCTTACAAATGCACTTAAATCATTATCAATTATCAGCACAAGGTATGTATCTGAGTCTGCTGTAAAAAAAAGTTTTTTAGACATGTAATGGATATTTTTTTTTTACATTTTAGATGACAATAAATTAGTGCCTTTAAAGAACAGAACAGGTCTACTACGACTTTTGAGTCGGACACAGGAAAAGTGGAAAGTGGTTTAATTTATCCTGATTCCAGCATTTACTGAAGATAGTGTGAAATTTCTTCTCAAATGAGTGTACATTTAAAGTGTATTGTAGAATTCTGAGGCAGCTTTTAATTTATTACCTTGTGGACAGCATTCTCTGAACTCCACAGCTCTCTGTTCTGTCCTTCAGTGTTTGTGCCTATCCGCAGTGCTACCTAAATACTGTACAGATACCAGAACATAAGGACATTTTTCTTCTGTCCTTCCAAGCAAACCAGTATATCTTAGTATAAATCTTAAGTTTTCACAAGAGCAAAAAATCTCTTTTAACTAAAAGTCTGAGTTCCCAATATTGAGACAGAAAACGTATTGTTCCTCTGAAACAATAAAACTGTGAACCCTGCTGCTGCTTAGTAAGCAGTGCAATATGTGTCTTACCAGAAATCCTAAAAAAACCTAGTTTCAAACCACAAAAAAGAACAACATTAAGTCATCTTGCTTTCTGATCGTGTCTGGAAAAAGACTCGGTGTCAAGTGGAAAGAACAAACTTGGAAAGACACAAAAACAATTTCAACATAACAACTTTTACAATATGCTTATCTCTTAATTGTTTATTTAACAATGTGTGAAGCACTTCAGGAGGAAAAAAGTAACAAATTTGTGTAAGCTGTTGTGTTTAGCTCTGCATTTCTTTCTGAATTGTTACTCTTCAGAGAGACTTTTGCAGTTGAGCATTGGTGGACGAGTCTGGAAGACTGTTATCCTTCACTCAGGATTGTTAAACAATAGTCTTTTGTCGTGTCTTCAAGTAACTGTACAACTGTAAACCTTCAGAAGCTACCTGTGAGTCAGCTAACCATTACTGATATGTTATAACAGGAAATTGAGATACATAAAGGTGAAAATAGCAGCCTGGGGTCTTGCTTGGAATTTGTGGAAATGCCAGGAGGAAAACTCACAAGCATTTACTTTCACATCATGGTCATGCTCATGTTCCAGCCTGTGAGGGCCTGAAGTAGCTCAGCTCTGAGTTCTCTGGCCTGCACAACTTCTCCATTCAAGTTTCTGTCCTCACCACTCAGTGCTAGCTTATTAACATGATCGTTCTTATCTCTCCCTCTCTTCAGAGATATTCTTACTCTTGAAACTTGAAGAAAGCAATGCCATTGTGGAGAAAAGTCTAGATAAAAGATAGATAAAAGAGTAACAAATTATGTTTCTGTATTATCTAAACTCTTTTATTTTGCTGGTAGCTACTGACAATTAATTGCCAGCATGAAAACTATGCTTTCAAAGCATTCAAACAACTTGTTTTGGAGGTTGTTGATAGTCTTAAATATCTGTATTTATCTATATTAAATATCTGTATTTTACTAGACTCGTCTTCAAAGACCTGGTTTTTATAAACCAGTATGGAATATTTCCTACAAATCAGGCCTACATATTTTTAAAGGCTTTCACTAGGGGTTTTATGTACATTTTCTGTAAGTGATGGTGCTGAGCAGCTTTACTGTGTGAATGGAAGTAAATATTGAGGGATCCTTAATATGCTCTCCACAGCTGGTTCACCTCATCAACATTTGGGTCCTGTTTTAAAACTATTTAAACTTAAACTGTTTCTCTCATTTTAGGAGTAATTGTGTAAACGTGTTGGTAACAACAACCCAGCTTATCCCAGCACTTGCAAAAGTTCTACTATACAGCTTAGGTGGAGCTTTTCCTATTGAAAATATATACAGTGCAACCAAAATAGGTAAGAAAGTTATTCTTTCATCCATTCTGACTACAATGCATTACCTTTTTTTTTCCCCCAGTAATGGATGTATTCCAAAACACTTCACTGACACTTAGCAGTTTTAGTTATAAGATTTAGGCATTGCATGTGTTCAGATGTGTTTATGTCAAAGAATTCCAAATTCACCTTATTTTCAGTGATGCCTAAAGGAGTAGAGATGCTGATTAAAAGCCTCAGAAGCTCCTTAGTATGGTCCAGAAAACGAACGACTTGCAGAAAAGAATGAAGATAAGTTTTTTGTGAATTCAAATCTGACCAGAAATTCTGTTAAATTAGCCTCTGCTCTGACCTTCAGCTCTACGCAAGCCAGGCCACAGCTTCACAAACCTTTTCCTGAGCCATAGTCTGTCAGTGGTGGGAATGGCAGCTGTTTCTGACAGAACCTGTGCTGCTGGATAACAAAAGGGCTCTTCCCCATTCTGTTCACAGCTGTGTCCCTTTTGTGCATTATGACTTGGAAATGTATGGCTTCTGGAAATTGCATGCAAAACTGTAAACCAAGAAAAGCAGGCATTTCTGTGAAATGTGATGCAGCATACAGTGACTGATAATTTTGCAAATTTTACCCATCATCAGTTCAGGAATGCTTCATATCTATATCCATGAAAACCTTTATAGCATGGAATGTGTCACTTAATTGACAAAAGCATTGCAATATGTTTCATAAATTATTTTCACAAGGGAAAAAGCAGTGCATATTCTAGCAGTGTCAGGCAGAACTATTAACTCAGTCATCATTTAATTAAGTTTTTCATTACTGCATCACCCATTGTTGCAGATACATTAGAATTAAAATTTCTGCTTTCCTTGTAAGAATATTATTACAATCATAAGGAAATATTTAAATTCAATTATTCATTTGCTAACCTATTCATTTTTGCAGTGCTGCTAATTCCTTTGTCTTAGTGGTTTTCTTGTAATGATTAAGAGATCTAGTTTTACCTGAAACATGTGTTATTAAGGGAATCCATTGCTTCTTACCAGATTAGGCTCTAAATCCCAAGGTTGGGAACTTCTTAAAAGTAGTAGTAGCAGCAATGTCTTACCACTGCAAAAATCCTCTGTAAGGCTTCACCATAACTCACTTGATAGTTTGAATAAACAGTGCATTGTTTTTCAGGCAAAGAGAGCTGTTTTGAGCGTATAGTGTCCAGATTTGGCACTAACATAACTTATGTTGTGATTGGAGATGGCCGAGATGAGGAACATGCAGCTAATCAGGTAACTTCACTCTGAACTCTTATCTCATTTATCTTCCAGGAAAAGAAAGTTGCTTTGAACGAATAATGCAAAGGTTTGGCAGAAAAGTAGTATATGTTGTAATTGGGGATGGTGTAGAAGAAGAACAGGCAGCAAAAAAGGTAACCTGTCTTCTGAAATGTTGGTGTGATACATAGCTACTAATGCAAGCCTTTCTGTTTGCATTTTTGTCAGTGTTGCACAAAATGACAAATAATTTCAGTCCACAGATGCAAACCAACAAGAGCATGATGAGATCAGCATTTAGAGTAAAATGAACCATTTGGATTCTAGCATTTGCTTCGCTTCACTTTGGAAAGAAAAAAAACCCAAACCAAAACAAAAAAATTATTTTTTAAACAGATGGAAAAATAATGCAGAAAAAATGTCTGACAAACTTCAAGCAAATTAAAAGACAAACAGAACAGATAGAAAGGGTTATGCGATGATGGTTGGGAGGGGTGTTTTTCTTAAAATGCTGAAATTGGGAATGTTTCAAGAGAAGTGTTACAGAGAATGTGGAAAACATCTAAAGGACTGTGCAATTTTTTTTGCTAAGGTAGATAAAGATCCATAGTTTACTGGGGCAAATATGATAAAAATATAATTTGCTTCAAGAAAGACATATCTGCTTAAAGGAAAAAGAACACAATGTAGAGATTGTGCAACAAATCTGTGTTTCCAAAAAAGAATTGTTTCCTAGTTTCCTCATGATGATTCAAGTCTAATTTCAGCAAAGAAGTTTTTAATGTTCAGAAACATCAAATTAGTAATTTGTGCTGTGCTTCCCAATATAACCCATGGAAGTGTGCAGAAATTGAATTTTTTCCTCACAATGTCTGTACAGGACCAGTTATCTAAATCTTGTTGTGCTAGATGTAGCAAAATTAAGCACTGTCTCAGCATTGTAGTTGGAGTGGAAACAAAATGGAAATAACCAAAATGCTCATTCCAAATGGTTCCTTAATATAGGTACAGTACTGGTGATGGGTCCTTTATAATTTTTGCTAAACAGTGGTGGTTGGATTGTGGGCTTTCTGATTGGGCATGCTTTTTCCTTAACATTGGCTATATTGCATGGATAGATGTAGAATTCAGAGAGATGGATGAATATAGCACATTTCAAATAGATCTAAACACAACATGGAATTATGTGGTTTTTTTCTGTTCTAATGAATTACTGAAGGAGAATACTGTGTATACCTGCATCTCTCACAGACACTGATGCTTTCTGCAATACAAATTATCTTTTCTTAAACTAGAAATGTGTTATTTTCTTATCCAAAGGCATTTCTTTTTCTGCCTGGATGGAGAAAAAAATCTAATTCAGCTCTATTTTGAAGTGTTGAATGAGAAACATCTTTTCATGGAAGTGGTATAGTCCTTTAAATGATTATTCAGTATTTTGCAGTCAAATAAGTGGAGCATCAAATGATTTCCTGTTAATGCTCCTTTGTACGGGCTTGTGTGCTAACAACAAGCAAGTAGCTCTTACTAAGTAACAGGCATTTTCCAAAGAAACTATTAAGAAAGGCTATCATCCTATTATTTTAACTTGAGCTGCTAAGCTCAGATCTATTTTGGTCTGACTTTTGTCAGTACTTGAACAGCAAAAATCAATCCAGAAACACAGTGGTGTAAGATAGGAGCTGATAATCTCTAACTGTCCTTGTGTGTCATATCCTTGTGTGCCTCCCTGTGTCACAGTGTTCATCTTTCCTGACCTTTTCCCTCCTCTAACAAACACAGCACAACATGCCTTTCTGGAGGATATCCAGTCATTCGGACCTCTTGGCTCTCCATCAAGCACTGGAACTAGAGTATTTGTAGCTGTGTTCTAAAGCTGGTGATCCTTATATATATATACATATATATATATATACACACATACATATATATATATGTATACATATTTCAAGTACACTGAATTTTTATGTGTGATTCAATGCCTCTGGCTTTACACATATGAATTGTCTTAAGAAGGGAAGAAATATTTGGAATTAAAAATTCCAAACTGAAGAATTCAGATTGCTGAATGGAGTTAAAGCATTAGTGCTACGTAAGAAAGCTCTATGGTCTTATATACGCAACGTTTTTAAATGAATTGAAACTGTGGAGGTTGCTGGTACACACCAAGTGAGCCCTGACAGGAGTGAACAAAGGACTCGAACTGGCAAAGCACCAAAACGCATTTTCCAGCCAACAAGGTGGTGTTCAACAACATTCCTCAAAATGGGATATATTCTCAGCACTGAGGTTTGAACCAGACTTTAGCCTACCTAACGCAAAAAATCTGAATTGGAATGCACTCAGACTGTATAATGACAATCCTGTCTAGACGTGTAATTTGTGTAAATTATTGATGAAAATAATTTACTGTGACTTTATTAGCAGCTGATTTTGGAAGTGGATGCAATTTTTCTTTCTTTTTTTGGGGGGTGGGGGCAGGGGAGGGAAAGGGTTATATAATATTGTCTCTTTTATAAGTTTGGCAAACAGAATGTGCATATGATGTGTTGTGCCTTAAAGAGAAGACTGTGTTTGTGTGTTATAATGTAATTTTGGTTAAAAACTCTGTAGATAAACAAAAAACCTTTGTGATAATTTTTGACATGACCAAATTTGAAATTCAAAGAAATCAAAGAGCAGGGCTGCACCAAAGAATTTAAGTATTTGTTGCAGTAAGAAAAAATAATAAAGGAAAGTTTGTGTTTTTATTTGGATTCTGAATAATTCCACTGATTTTTTGAGAAAAGTTAAGAAAATATTGGGAGGTTGATACTGGGGACCGCTACTTGGAAAGGTAAAAGAAGAAATAGTGTTTAACACCTTCAGCATCATTTCTTGATTCTCCAGCAAGAGAACTAAGAGCCATATTCATTAATTACCAAGTCCACTGAATGCCATACAGTGTGTGCATCTGCTGTGTATAGCAGAGCAAAGTTCCACCCAGCAGACAAAATGTTCAGGTGGCATTACTGGAAGGTGAAAATGTGGGGTTAATCCCAGATGGGGAATAAAACACAAGTTCATTAGGAATTAAAAATTACTAAAGAAGCTCTTATTTGTCAGATGTGGAAATGATGCTACATTTAGCATATTAAAGATCAACACAAGCTGCTGAAATTGCTGGCTTGATGGCATCAGCCATTTAAGGAGAATAATCCACTTTGGTAAAGAAAACAGCACTTTGGTAGCTTTTCCATTCTGTTCCACATTTTTGTGTATTTTGTTTTGAGTCAGCATGACTTTCGTCATCCATTTTTGATTGCTCGACACAATTACACAGGGACAACCCTAAATGTTTTTGTATCAGAAATTTCAATAGCATGTCAGGCATCTGAGGAGAGGATAAGGAGGTGATTTTCATGAAGAAACATTGACAAATATATCACCTTAACTTCCATCATTTCTATTGAAAGTTATGGTCTGTACAGCAGCAAGTTTTGAACGTGCTGCCATATGGAAAATGAGCAAGATCCATATTGCACACAGGGCCCTTAATGTTCCATATGCAGCTTGAGCACTCTGCAATAGCAGCAAGTGGCTCATCTCTCATGGCAGAAGGTGGAAACTACTTTTTCAATTTTTAACACTGTATGTGGAGACACCTGAGGCTGAATGTGCACTGGCTGTGTGAAGAGGTATTTGCAAGAGAAGATGTTAAAGGCAAACTCCAGGATGCCTGCACGGGCACAGTAGTCAGCACTGAGGTGAAAATCCTCTGTCTTTGTGCTCTGAAGCCGTCACATGCCATAGCTACCAGGCAGTAACTTTGCTCATTTAAACTTTGTTGAGGTTTTTAACAAAGTTACTTGGTAGGTGAAAGCCCAGAGCCGCTACGAGTCCAACGTGAAACTCCTCTATAAATTCATAAAAATGGATTTCATTGCTGTGGTGGAATTGGATATCCAAGTCACCACACAACAAACTAACAATAATTTTTTATCACTGGGCTGTTTAAAGCCGTCACATGAGACTCACCACATATCACTGTAGACTAGGTAGATATTTGGGTGATAGATTTGTGTGTCCAAAACAAAAATAATTATGCATACCTTCTTTATATTTTCAGTACCTGCAAATACATGTCATAAAAATCTGTAGTACAGCTTTTTTAGTTATTCAGGTGGGATAAAAAGCGTTTCTACTGGAATGCGAAAGAATTTTAACCCATTCTCAAGTTCCAGCATTACGTAAAAATCTCAATGTAAAAGATGTGATGAAACAAAAAATTTGTTTGGTTAACAAGCTTTTTTCTCTTCTTTTTTTTTTTTTTTGATATGTCATATTGTTATTTAAATGCATGAAGTAGTATTATTTCTCAACTTCTTTGTTCAGCTTTTCAATGTTCTTTTCCTAATCAAATGAAAGAACAAAAAGTAGCCCAGCAACAGCCGTTGGTTCTTATTAAAGGTTTGCAGTGCCTTCTTTGGAGTTGTGCTTAGCTTTCTGTGGCAGATATGGCTCAATTAATATATGGACTTCTAGAGAGGAGATGGAGGCAAAAGGAGGGAACTTTTACAGAGCATGACAAGGTTCTGTGTGCCACCATAGCAGGAGTTAATTGTTAAAACAAGTAATCCACACAAACATGTATCCAAAAAAATTTCAAGGATGTAGCTCAAAAGGCTTTGCAATACCAAAACCCTAAAACAAAATTTCAGAGAATGAATACCCTCTTGCTAAGCAAAATTTGCTATTTATCTTTAAATAAAATTGTATAGTACATGCCTGTCTTGTAGAGAGAAATTAGTCTGATATATTTTCCTGCATGAACAGTACAGAGGAGAAAATAACCAAGGCAGAAACAGTCACGCCAGATGGTTCCAGATGGGCCTAAGAAGATTAAACTGAAGGTTGGTCACTTTGACATTGAGTGCATTTTAATTCAGAAGCATATTAATCAGAAACTACCTTTCCTTCAGCCTCTCCTCAACAACAAGATTGAGCATAAGGCCCCATTTGCAAGTATTTTGGGCAAATGAAACAGAATAAATGCCTCTAGCAGTTCTCAATACAGAACCTGAATGTTCATTAGGCATTTGAGTGGTCAGCTTGCAAAATACAAATATTGTGTGATTACAGTCGTGGGATAGTATCTTAGACATAACTCTGTGCAGTTCAGTAAAAGAGGGCAGAAAAACCTAAAAATTACACATATTTTTAGATGACTGTGGATATGGTGCACAGAGCTATAGGTAGCAGCTAGCTCCCAGATCTGTTCCCATCCAAATCCAGTGTGAGCAGCAGTGTTTGCATCTGAAGCAGATGCAGAGTGTGTTCCTGTGTAAGCATTGACAAGGGAGATGAGGCCAAATCAAAGTCCTCTATACAAGCACTCTTCATCTTGGGGCAGATGAAATCTTGCATCCCATCAGAACTGCACAGTTTGTGGAGAATATAGGCTTGACCCACGATAGGAAGACTAGGTTTTAGCAGTGAAGTTGTATCCAGATCCAGGATTTCAGTTCAAAAGTCATCTGTGCTTTATAGGACTGACACCTGGCATATGCTGTAAATGAGTATGGTATTTAGTATCTCTGAAGAGGAGCTGAAGTGAAATCAGCCAAAATCCCAGCAATAGCAGCATTTTGGAGATTTGAAGCCAAGGGTCTCTGTCATGTATTAGCAGATTATAGTTTATTAGGACCTACCTAATTTAAGAAAAAATGTAAATTAAAATTAAAAGCTTGTAAAATTATGTACATCTTTACTATTTCTCAATAAATACACATGGAAGTGTCATTTTCTGCACTATACAATGTTGTAAGTTGTTTGGTTTGTGGTTGAAAGATGCAGTGTCTCTTACAGGAGCCCAGTGTGAGCTGGGGCTCTGACATCCACGCTGCCCTTGTCGCTCATGCCTGGAGAAGCCCTGAGCCCACACATGGGTCTGGTAGACACTGGCTCAGCTGTGGGTTGTGCCTTGCTCCACATGCAGCCTGAGAGACAATTAGCAGCTCTTGCAGTGTCCTTGAGACAAAACACAGAAAAAAGCAATTTGATGATGTAGACACGCAGGGTATGCATTCAAATCCCCATGTCATTCACTCACTAATGCTATGCTAATACCTTTATGGTCATGGCTTGTTCAGGAGACAGACTGGGCTACTGAGGACCAAGTAGCCTGTCCAGTTGAAGATCACCCTTGTGAAACTCTCAATGTTTTTGAGAGCAGTACTTTATTATTTTAGTGAGTTGCTGAATTTCATTTTGAGGCAGTCCCTCCACAGTCTGCTAGCAGAGGCCAAAGTGGGATCACAGAATTGCCAGCACACTTAGATGTGACATTGCAGTCTTGGGAACCATGTGGCAAGTGGCAGAACCTTGGTAGCCACAGTGATTCAGCCGCAAGAAGTGGCTTGTAAGTAGTAGACTTCTTTGCATGGGGTTAGATTAAAGCATGTCTCTTAAAACACAGTTGTTTTGTCTGTTCATCTGCTGCCTTCTCAGTTTTAGGAACAAAAAGGAAGATCTGTCAAAAATCAAGTGGACAAAATACAAAGAAATCTCATCTACTGAGCAGACAAACCCAGAGTAAACAGTTTTACAGTGTCTCCCAAATGGGTTTGCATGTGACTCCAGAGAAGAACCATTCATTCAGTAACATTTGAGAAGAGTGAGATAAAAGGTAGTCAGAAATTGGGTGATAGCACAACATTACCTTCATTTCTCGTTGCTGAGAAACTCAGTGCTCCCAATGGCTATCATTGTGCCCTGCACATGATGTTCACAGTGATGAACTAAAGCAAAAATATCATACTGAGAACATTTATGAGTGGACTCTTCCTCATTTGGGTGCAAAAATGATTCTTCGTCATTATCCA